CACCGCGTCCTCACCAAACCCCCTCGTCCCAGCCACAGGCGGCCATCTAGCATGCAACCCAGCCATCGACCTCACCGTGACAGTAGGAGCTGGCGGTGGTGACGCTGGGGCGGCAGGGCAAGCGGGATCCTCAGCGGTGTATGTGTGGCGCGGGGGAGAGGAGGGGTTGGTTGCGAGGGGGGTGGAAAGGGGGAAGAGGGTGGAGGGGGTTGTTTGGAGGGATGATGGTGCGTTTTCTTTTTCCTTTCTTCTTCTTCTTTTTTTTCCTATCACGATAGCTCTCACATTGGGCTTGGAGGCCGGGTGTTGGGTTGAGGGCGTTTGTGCTGATGTTGTGAATAGGGCAGTTCCTCGCAACGGGGTGGAGTGACGGCGTGGTGAGGCTGACTGGTTTGGAGAGTACCAAGGCGGTGCAGCATGTGCGCGTCCTAGAGGAGGGTGGAGACTCAAACAGCAAGATTGAGTTTATGGCTTGGGTGAGAAATAGCACGGGGGAAAGTAAGATTAGGAGCGGTGGGCGGAACGGGGACGGTCCGGATAGGAGAATACACCTGGATGGTGATAACACGAGAGACGTGGCGGCCGATTTGCCGCGGGAGCTAGTGTTTCTGGAACTGGAGACTGCCTTGCCTAGGTTAAGTCCGCTTCCCGCTGGCGGGACAGGGTAAGTAGCTTCCAATGGTTTGGTTGAGGATACTGGGAGAGCGGCTGGAACGCTGACTGAGTGCTTAGGGATGACATGTTTTTGTTCTCATCAACGGCGTCACTGGAAACGGTGTTCCGTCCATGTGATATAGCGGAGGCGGGCGATGTGCACGTTATGGTCGTGGGAACCTCGGAAGGGGGCATACACCTCAGTACCAATGGTTCTTTCGCCATTGGTACGGTGAACCCTTCGTCACGGGCAGAGGCATCATCAGTCCGGCTATGTGGGCACAGCTCTCGCGCCGAGTCATCAACACACATGTTGCTGGTCCAGCCCCGGGAGAGTGATGGTACAACCCTCTCTCTTGTGCCGATGTACCTCGGTTTTCTCGACCACTCACCCGTCAATTTGTCGCTCCTGGCGTCAAAAACAACAAACTTGCAAAATCTGCTGCGATACCTTAAAGCAACGCAGTCACACATGGTCAATGAGTGGCAATCTACTAGGGAGCTGCCAAAACGGTTCATGGCCGGGGTCCAGGATGATCTTAAGAAGCTGGCCAACGGAGACATGACGGTTGTGGAGGCACTGTATCATACTGTTGTGACTGGACATGTTTTTGAGCCTGTGAAGGAGTGGCTGGTTGACACGCTTGGCGATCGAGTAAGTATTGATGGATCCTTTTCGGAAAACATAGTCATAGCTCACAGTTGTTTAGGGCCATAGGCGTTGGGAAAAGGCCGTGGTATCCGGCCTAACCGGCCTTCGCAGTCTCGTTCACGAAAACTTCATCCCAGCCTTGGAGAGATGCGGCACAATCCTTAGCCGTTTGCTCGGTCTCGCACGCTTCCACGACCCCGAGGCTGGGCTGGGATTCGACGAAGCGCAAATCAACAAGCTCGTGGACATTGTAACGAGTCTTATGGTGGTAGCTAACAGGGTGCTGACCAGTGTCATGGATGAGCTGGAACACTTTAACGCATTTTCTACCTGGCTTCATATGGAGATTGACAAACAATCGTCGTCGTCAGTGAGTGAGGAGCTGACGGAGAAGGAGGCGACCATGGACCACCCGAAAGTTCTGGTGTACATCCAGCATTACCTAGCCAACAGCCCATTGTCGCTCTATTTTGACGAGGCCACCAAGGAGGATTACCTCAACGATCGGGAATTGTTGGCTCCCGGTCTTTCTCTACTGGATCTTCTCGACAAGCAGTTGCAGGAACAGGAAGCCGGGCGACGCTCCATGAAGGTCTTGCCTAGGATAAGCTTCTTACTAAACTATCTGACGTCCAAGGCCAGCGCGGTGTTTGACGGGATTGCGGAAGCACAGCGGCACGGTGTCAAGTTTGGCCAGGCTGTCGGTCTCTCCATCGGGAAAAAGATATGGAAGCATGACTTGTGGATGGGCCGGTCGAGGAAGAAGGTAAGTCTTGCGCTCTCTCGGGCATTATTATCTCCTAATGGCTGGTTAGGGCACGTCCGCACCGGTCTTTACGGCTATAGTCCCGGAAGACGACAAGTCAAAAGGTCGGTCTCCTCCCCGCTGTTAAATTAGAACTTGAGGCTAACGTCAGTGCGGCACCAGTGTACATCATTCGCTCTGAAACACCGTTAGGCAACTCGGAGGGTGGGCCTATTTCGGCCACGGCTTGCGGCCTCGGACTGCCCGATGGCGTGGCCATTGTCGACTTGAAATACCTTGACGACAAGTCCTTGTTGATATTATGTGCCCAGAAAGGTAAGTCTCGGCTTTGAGGATAGAAAAGAAAACAGAGCAACAGACTAACAAGAACCCAGAAGAACCCAAATCGGTCCTGTTGAGGGTGGCATACCAATCATCACACATGCCCTATCGGGAATACGCAGAAGGACAGGCACCCACCGTGCTAGAGCTTGATGGCACAGGAAGTGAGGGGGTGACGTCGTGCTTTGCCTTTTCAAGCATATCCGGGTTTACGCCAATCCAGCTAGAGGTTCAAAAAGCAAGCAAGTTGAGAGGTGACATGCCGGCGAGGGCGTGTCTGTTGGGGCGCGACAGGGCTATGGTTAAGACGTATGCGCTGCCGGCGGATATGGACGAGGGCAAGGGGGTGTTTGAGTGAGAGGGAGGGTGAAACCACCGAGGATTTGCAAGGAAGGGATGATTGAGGGTAGGGGGTTGTAAACCAATTGTTGTAGGGCGTTAATGTGAAGTGGGTGCTGAATAACTTGGTGACGATGTTCTTGTATGGTGTTGTTGACACACAGGGAATTTGAATCGAAACACTCGATGACATTTGGCCGAGTTGTCGAAGGCGGGTGATTTGGGGACGATAAGATAAGGAAGGGGGTGCGAATTGAGCCAATATCCCATTGTACACACTGTATGTAGCAGGAGAACCTTGCCCCAGAACCTTACCTTAAAAAATGTGCTAGTAACGAGCTATGTCTGCAGGAGAAGGGTAGGTTTCTTGCCGACCGAAAACTATAAAGCCGCCGCCCGGCCCATCTGATCCGTCCGATCCATCTATTGAAAATCATACCAACTTTGTTCTCTGTTTTTGCCAAAGTTGCGCCGCAAGACTGCAGTTTGGCGTCCACTAACAAACAGGTATCTCGCACTGTCACATTAACTGTGCACTCAGCCTCCGGGGGGTTCCCAACCGAAACAACGTCATCTGCCCCGTGAATGGAAGCTCCAACGGAACAACGAACAGAGCAACAGACCCATCCAACCGTCTCGTCCTACACGATTGCGCCCGAGCTCGGAGTTCCTGTTTCATCCGAGATACCGACTCTCTGCAGCGACTTCCTCAATTTTCCATTATTCTTTTTCTTTTTCTTTCAATGAGGGTTAAATTTGGATAGCTCTGGTCAATTTCATTGGTCTCCTGGGCTCGGCTTCTCGATTTCTCGATCCTCGATTCTCGACAAGAGCTTGAAACGAGTCGACGAAGCAACGCTACCTTCCGGCTCTCAATTAGGTAGTCCACCGTCGAGATGAGCGAACCGGCCGTCCCGCCGCCGACGGCCGTAGGCGGTCTACGACCGTCAGCAACAATGCCCGCGACAATGTCGTCCTCATCATCATCAACCTCCCACCCACCATCGCAACAACAACAACACCAACAACCATCATCCTCCTTCCTCCAACCCCCATCCTCACAACACCACCCCCAACCACCGCCACCACCAACCCAACGCCAGCCCTCCTTCTCCCAAGCCATCGTCCCCGGCCCCGCAATCCCCGTAACCCTCACCGAAGCCGCCCTTGACTCCCCCACCTTCCGCGCCACAGCCGTCCACTTCTCCGACCAGCTCGACGCCATCGAGCGCTGGCTCGACAGCTACCAGCGCAGCACCACCAAACTCGTCCACGACATGCTCGCGCTCGAAGACTCCGTCGGCGCCTACCTGTCCAAGATCTCCCCGCCGGCTATCGCCTCGCCCGCTGATTCCCCCGTTCTCGATGCGGACTACACGTTGCCTGCGCTGCGGCGGGCGGGGGAGGGAGCGCGGGAGTGGTGGGGGGGGATTTTGGCGGTGGTGCGGAGGCTGGAACCGGTTAGTGTTGAGCCGGTGAGGGGGTTTGTGCAGAATGAGCTGAGGGGGTTTCGGGAGACGAGAAGGGTGTTGGATGCGGCGCAGAAGACGTTTGATGGGACCTTGGCGCGGTATGTGGGGCAGAGCAAGACCAAGGAGCCGAGCGCGTTGAGGGAGGACGCGTTTGCGGTGTTTGAGACGAGAAGGGCGTATTTGAAGGCGAGTTTGGATTATTGCCAGATGGCGCCGCAGGTAAGGGCGGGGCTGGATAGGTTGTTGGTGAGGGTGTGTGCGGATATGGCGAGGGAGATGAGAAGGACGGGTGAGTCGTCTCAGGGGTTAGGCTCGGGCTCAGGGACGGGGACGGGGACAAGTAAGGGTAGGGGTACGGACCGGAGAACGACACCTGGACAAGAGGAACTGGAGCGCATCCGCGGGTGGGTGCGGGAGATGGAGATGACTGAGGGGGTGTTCAAGCGCGAGCTGCAGATGGCGCGGCGTGGGATTGGTGAGACCACACTGGCCATGCACAAGCCGTCGCGGGAGCTAGAGGACTACAGCGTGTCGACGGTGCCGTTCCTGGGATCGTCCAAGGGCCCGATGAGCATGCAGCGCGACGACCAGACGGCGGTGATCTCGGAGAAGCAAGGGTGGTTGTTCTTGCGGGTGCTGACGGGTAAACCTGTGCGGACGACGTGGATCCGGCGGTGGTATTACTGCCGCGACGGTATCTTTGGCTGGCTGGTGCAGAGCCCGCAGGGGGTGCTGCAGGGCGACGAGATCGGCGTGTTGCTATGCAGCGCGCGGCCCGCGGTGCAGGAAGAGCGCCGGTTCTGCTTCGAGATCAAGACCAAGACGCAGACCATCCTGTTACAGGCCGAGACGCAGGCGCAGTTGATCGAGTGGCTCGAAGTCTTCGAGGTGGCCAAGAAGAAGGCGATCGAGGCAAGCATGGGCCGGGACCCGGGCTCCGCGCTGGGTAGTGCCGACCCGGCGTTTTCCATCACGCCGCCGTCGATTCCGGAGTTCTCGGCCAAGATGATGGACAGCGGTGCAGGTGGTGGCAGTGGTATGGACGAAGGCAGCGGCATGTCATCGGCGGACAGGGGGTCGTCGTCGTCGGCCACGCTGCCTGTGCCTGGCCAGGACCCAGGCCTGACGCGGGCCAGCTTCGATGCGCATGCTCCCCCGCGGCGGGCGATTACGACTCACCTGGCGCGGGAGGAGGGTGAGACCGGCCGGGAGCACGCGGCGCGTATCATGCAGAACCTGCACCGCAAGTCGGCGTTTGCCAGCTCGACTGATGCGCCGTCTTCTAGTGTGGGTGGTGTATCGGGCACAGGAGCTGCGGGCGGGGGGTTGAGCAGTAACACCAGCATAGCCGGGACGGCCACGGGCGCATCGGCGACGTCTCCGCATCTCGGATACCCTTCGTCCATGCGTCCGCCAGCCGATCACAAAGCGGCGAAGAGCCTGGCCCCGATTACGCTGGCGAAACCGCCGATCGCAACCAACCTCAGCAAGACGGCGATCCTGGCCAGTGCCAACGCGGCGGGTTCCTCGAGCAGCTTGCCCACAGCGGTGCTGGCCAACTACTGGGGCAGCAGTCCCTACACGTCGGTGTACTGCCCCAGCCCGTCGATCCCAAACACCCCCAAGCCGGACATGAGCGATCCTTTTGTGGCCGCCGCTGCCAAGGCTGCTGCCGCTGCGGCCAACTCGAACGCAAACTCGAACGCGAGCTTGAACACCGGCGCGAACTCGCATCGGAAGACGGTCAGTGTGGACGCGACGGTGACGGATATCAGGGCGAATAATAAAAGGGGCGAGGGCGCGGAAGAGAGCGCCACCAAAGGAACGGCCAGGTTCCCGGCGAACTACCCGCCTGAACTCCGGGCGCAGTATGCGCAGTTCCGGCTGTTCTTCCCGACGGCGCCTGTCGAGGACAAGCCGGTGTTGGTGTTCAACGCCGCGTGGTCGAGTAGCGCAGCCGCAGCGACGGAAAGCACAGAGGGCAACAGCAGTGGAAGTGCTGGGAACAAGAGTAAAGAAGGCGGCATGGCAGGCAACGGACGCATCTTTGTCACGGCCGACCGCATGTACTTCTACGGCGACCAGATGGGCCTTGTGGTCGCGTATGCGATCAACCTGGACAGCATCACGGAACTGACGGCTGCGCCCGGGCGCGACTGTGATTTTATATTTTTGCATCTGAATCAGGGCATGCCGGATATCAGCTACGCGCGTATCACGGTCAAGGTGTTTCTCGAGGACTTTGCGCTGCTGCAGGCGCGGTTGAACTTGCTGGTGGATGACTTGCAGGCGGCTGAGCCGATGGAGCTGGAGGAGATTATTGGGGCGTTGTCGACGCTGAAGGAGGGGCGGGAAGGGAGTGAGGGGGATGGTGAGGATGAGGAGGACAGTCATGGTTATGGTGGCTATGGAGGATATGGTCGTGGGCACGGGCATGGGGGTCATCATGGTAGACGCAGTCCGAGCGTGGAAAGCTGGGAGGATGTGGCGTCTGATATGCCACTGGGTCGGCCCCTACTGAAGAGGAGTGGGAGAGATTCTCACGGCCGCTTCGGACACAAGAAGTCGTCGGTGCACAAGGTCCAGCTACCGACTCACCCCGTCGTGTACGAGCCCCCCGACATGGGCAAACCCGTGGCCGAGCGGCACTTTGAGATCAGCGCCAAGTCGTGTTTTCACGTCCTGTTCGGCGACAAGAGCTTCCTATTCCCGAAGCTGTACTTTGAGCGCGGCGCGCAGGAGATCGCCCAGGGCGGCTGGGAACTGCAGGACCACGGCCGCATGCGCCGGCAGTTCCGCTTCCGCGTCGAGTACGTCGACATGCTTGGCCGCAAGAAGCCCGGCGATGTCGCCGACACCCAAACCATTGACATATTCCAGGATCACATCACCTACGTCGTCGCCCACACCAAGACCGCCTGGCACCTACCGCACTCCCACGCCTTTAAACTGATTACCAAAGTCGTCGTCACCCACCTCGCCAAGTCCAAGTGCAAACTGGCCATCTACACCCGCGCCGAGTGGGCCACCCCAGCGCCAACCCTAACCATGTTCGTCAAAAACATGGTCCAGCGCCAAGCCCTCGACGACGCCGCCAACGACGCCGAGGAACTAGCCGACCTAGCCACAGACCAAGTCCGCAAGCTCGGCCCGCACTCCCGCACCAAGCGCGCCATCCAGGTATACGGCAACATCGGCCAGCAACAGCAAACCGTCGTCTTCTCCCCCGACGCCACGCCCGAAAGCTGGCAGCTCCTCCAGCAACAGCAACAACAGCAAGGCCCGGGGGGCATGGGCGTCACGGCTGTCCGTCCCCGCACGCTGACTGACATGATGCTGGAGACGGGGCGGTCGTTCCTCGAGAGCGCTATTACGAGTGTTATGATGTGGGCGTATGCTGCGCTGCGGCGGCTGTTCCGCGTGGTGCGTGCTCATCGCGTGATACTGGTGTTGCTGGTGGCGAGTGTGGCGTATAATGTGGTGGTGGTGTCGCAGGCGGGGGCCGCGTGGTGGGTTGAACGGAGATCGGCGAGGTATATGAGTCGATTAGGGGTGGGCCCGAATGGGATGATGGGACGGGCGGTGTATCTGGCGGATTTGGAGGGGGCTGTGAGGGTCGATGGGAAGGCGCCTGGTGGAGGGGATGGGGGGGAGAGTCAGTGGTATGTTTCTTTTTTTCGTCCTTTTTTTTCTCCTGTTGATTTCTGCTATATGTTTTGGATTCTTCTTACTGACAATGAACCAGCTACCAAACCTTCCAATCCCTCCTCAACAGCACCACCACCTCCCTCGACGCCCCCTCCGGCCCATCTCCCGCCTGGCCCTTTCCCTCCTCCTCCTCATCATCCTTCTGGACTTCATCCTCGATAAGCACAACAACAACGACAACATCCTCAACAACCCTCGCCGCCGCCCGCCGACTCCGACGCGTCCGCCAGCGCATGGGCGCCTACCGTCACGATTTACTTGTCGCTCTGCGCGTGGTCAACAGAGTCGAGCAGGAGATGGTGCAGAGCGAGTGGGAGACTTGGTTGGCCGGGGAGACGAGACGGTGTGAGATGGTTGGGGGGGTTTTGTTGCGGCAGCAGGAGGAAGAAGAAGGGAAGGGAACGGAGGGGTTGAGGGCGTGGTTTGGGGAGTACTGTGCTAGTTGTGCTGTGGAGGAACGGAGGGTTGGGGAGAGGGGGTTGTTCTGAAGTTTTTAATTTCTTTTTCGGGCTGAGGGCATTGGGTTTGGTTTGGTTTCAGAAGGTGTTTGTTGAGTCGTGAATAGGATAGAAGGGGAGTGGGTTAGGGTTGATTAGCGGCATACAGGCGTAGCATACGTGCGTGGTATAATAATACATGGTATAATAACAACCGGACGTGCTGTAATGGAGGGTGTCATAGCGAGCTGTGTTGTGGGTTGATCTCTTTGGGGACTTTGGATTCAGGGCACTTGCCGAAAAGGACGGCGTAATTGTTGAAAAAACGGCTGTTCTCTTCGTATTCAACTCCTAATAACCCAGTCGATTCGACAAGGCGTCTGAGAGATAACGCTCAGATATCAATCACAAGGCGCATGCACCACGGCTCGTGCTCGAATTTAACATGCATCTCCATCAGATGCTCTGTGCGTTACGCGTATGATGTAAGGCTTGAAAGACTGTTTCTGCATCCTCACAAGTTGAGACTTTGGCTCGGTGTGATTCGAATTTGGCCGTTGATTCTTCATCCCTCCTGCTCTTTGATCTCTCACGATCCCATCAACCCGTCTCAATATCGACAACCCAACAACAAGACACACCCACAACCATGGCCAAACTCACCGTTCACGCCCTCCTCCTTCTCCCATTCCTCCTCCCCCTCGTCCTCGCGGCCCCAGACCCAAACCCGCAAGCCGAAATCACAACCACCTCCACCACCCTAACAACCTCATCATCCCCTTCCACCCCCTCCCCAACGCCATCCATAATCTGTAACAACTCCCCCGACCTGTGCACCCGCGCCTACAACAACATCACCCACCTCGGCGCCCACGACAGCCCCTTTGTCCGCGACCCCAGCACCCGTAACAGTGTCGCGGGAAACCAGTACTATAACGCCACTGTTGCGCTGTCCGCCGGGGTTAGGTTGTTGCAGGCGCAGGTTCATTTCTCTAACCCATCATCATCATCATCTTCTTCTGCTTCGGGAGAGGGTGGGGGAGATGGCGGGGTGCTACGGCTGTGTCATACCGACTGTCGGTTGATGGATGCGGGGCGGTTGGAGGATTGGTTGGGTACGATTCGGGTGTGGTTGGAAGGGAATGGGAATGAGGTGGTGACGCTGTTGTTGGTGAATTCGGATGATAGGGGGAGAGGGGTGTTTGGGGAGGCTTTTGAACGCGCTGGGTTGGGGAGGTATGGGTTTGTGCCGGGGTCAACGTCCAACTCAACAACGTCGAATTCCTCGGGGTCGAACTCATCGGGGTCGAACTCATCAGGGTCAAACTCAACAGGACCCATCGCCTGGCCGACCCTGCAAACCCTCATCACAGCCAACACCCGACTCGTCGTCTTCATCGCCTCGCTCCCCGCCGTGTCCTCCTCAGCCCAAGAAACAGCCGACAGCCAGACCTACCCGTACCTCCTTAACGAATTCGACCATGTCTTCGAGACCGCTTACAATATCACCGACCCGTCGGCTTTTAACTGTGCCCTCGACCGGCCGGCGAATACCACTTTCTCTTCTTCTTCTACCTCGTCATCCTCGTCGTCGTCGTCGACATCAAGTACCAGCAACAGTGGCACAGACAACAAAGAGGGAACGCTAGCCCAACAAGCCCTCTCCGCCGGCCGTCTCCCCCTGCTCAACCACTTCGTCTACCTCCAACTAACCCCCGACATCTGGATCCCCTCGGCCAGCGGCGTCAACGCGACCAATAGCCCGTCTGAAGCTGACAGCGATGTTGGCGCGTTGGGGCGGCATATCAAGACTTGTCGGCAGGAATGGAATTCTTCCTCCTCGTCATCTATAGGGAACAGCGGCGCGGGGAACAGCACAATGGGAGATAGCAAGCCAGTCTTCGTGCTAGTAGACTTCTACAACCACGGCCCGGCAATCGAAGCAGTGGACAGAGCGAATGGAATTGTCGGGGTAGGCAGGGTGAAGGAGCCGGTTCCGTCGTCGTCGTCGTCGTCGGGGGAGCAGTGGAATCAGAATCAGGCCTGGGCTATCATACTGGCGAGTGTGTTGTCGGCGGTTTCGCTTGCGATGGTTTGGTATATTTTTAGAAATTCCCGTTGCTGGGTGTGTTGGGGGTGTTGTGGTCAGAATCATCCTGAGGGCTATTATCGTAATTGAGTGGTTGTGGGGGATATCTCGATGTTAGGTGTAATTAATAGGAGAGAGTGAAGAGTGCCATTTCACCACACACCAACAGACACAAAACAGAGTCATTTAATTAATAAATAATTGTATTACCAACTATCATCAACCGACCAACTCTAAATGTCGCAACAGATAAATTACGAAAACTCTCCATCGAAGAAGTAAGAAGGTCCCGTACTCAAAAAACATTGCAGAACAAGTTCTCGCTCTTGTCTAATACACTGCCGGAGAGCGCTCCGCCCGTAAGGTACGAAGGAACTCGAGGGCGCGCATCCTGGCTCAAGAACAGCCCCGGGGGCGGGATGGCTGAACGAATCAGGCAGAAGACGGTTTGCGCAAGTTGAAATGGAAAAGGGGGGGTTTACGAAGGATGATTCAAGCTGATGCCTCGATGTCGACGTTCTCTGTGAACGCGTCAATCAGGCAGGAAGCTCGCTCACGCTGAATTTGGCCTTCAGCTTCAAAAGATACCCTGTAGGAAACGGTAAACACCTCGCAAAGCAATTGTGTGTCGTGTTCCACCCCCCAACCAACAATGGGGAGTCGTTGTCATCCGGGGGTCAAAAGTTGTTTTGACGGATGAAGTTGCAAGACGAGAAATCGAATTTTTTGGTGGTGGGCTGCGCATGTGGGCCGTCACCCTGGCGGATCTAAAATCAAGGGTTAGGGTTGTATCAGCGATCCCTGTTATCAACCCGAACAAACCACTACATTTGCAAAGAAATCAGGTCTATTATCTACCCAGGTGTGTATGAGACTCCTATCCCGAGTCTACAAAACCTTCTACAACCCATCTGTTAACTGTTTCCGCAAAGGCCCATCCGATAAACGCCTGGTTCACCAGACGTGATGGAACCCTTTTTTTGCCTCTGTTTAACGGTCCGAAATTCAAATAACCTCATCCTTCGTTCAAATATGGGGGCTGATACCCCACATCGAGCTCTCTCGTCGTACTCCAAGGAACGGAACGCCCCTCACAGGTAAATCATATCATCGCGCGCCGCTATTTCAGGTTAGCTCTAATACGGTAAAGGTAGAAATTAGAAGAGAGGACTGCATCCTTACGGCCTGTCCCGATCCACTTCACCGGAACGCCGGTGTACTCCTCGACAAACTTGACGTAAGCTTGTGCTTGCTTCGGCAAGTCCGCCTGCATAGTGTTAGCACAACTTTGCCTCACGGGTTTCCCCCAGACCGAATGTACGCACGAATTTCTTCACCGCTGTCGTTGATGATTGCCAGCCCTCGAACTCCTTATACACAACTTCGCACTTCTCCAGGAAGTTCAAGTCAGCCGGGAAGTAGTCGAGCTCGCTGCCAGTGGCCGTGTCTTTGTAGGCCACCGCAACTTTGATCGTGGGGAACGTGTCGAGGACGTCAAGTTCTGTACGCAGCGTCGTCAGTATCGTTTGTAGCCCCATCACATCTCCAAGAGGACCTACTTGTCAGGTTCCACGCCGTGTAGTAGTTGATCGAGGCCGAGTACTTCAGGACGACGAGGTCGAGCCAGCCGCACCTCCGTTTCCTGCCAGTGGACACGCCCCATTCACGGCCGATTTCTTGCAGTTTCTTGCCGTCCTCGCCAACATCTTCAGACTTGAAGATGCCCTCGCCGACTCTTGTCTACAGACTGTCAGCACTGTCCCAATCCAGAGGTTCAAGGGTGTGCACTTACCGTGTACGCCTTGGCAACGCTATCAGGGGTTAGTAAATATGTCCGTTGTAGCAGGTAGCAGTCAGGAAACTCACCCAACGACCTCCCTAGAAACGTTATTGTCAGCAACAGTAGAACCCCGGCGACCCATTATTGTCTGAGTCACTCACTTGATCTTCCTTGGGTTCACAGCCAAACCCGTAATAACACCACCCAGCCCGGTGTTGCTGCTGGTGACGAACGGGTACGTCCCTGGTCACAAATCAGCACCCCCCTTTTGCGACCAAACCGCACCCAGAAAAACCCACCGTAGTCAATATCCAGCATCAGCGCATTGGCACCCTCAATCAGAATATCCACCCCACTGGCCTGCGCCGTCTGCATGTAGTTGACGGCGTCAACCACAAACTCAGGCAACTTCTCGCGGTACTCGCGGAAGCGCACAATCTCCTCCTCCACGTCATACTCCAGGAGGTCCCCAAACCGCTTCTTGTACCCGTCCGCCAGACGCCGCAGCTTCGTCTCGAAACTCGCCTGGTCAAAGATCTCGTGCACCCGTATCCCATTGCGCGCGGCCTTGTTCGCATACGACGGCCCGATGCCGCGGCCGGTCGTGCCGATCTTGTTGCCCGCCAGTTCCCTCTCCTCCAGGCCGTCGACGCGCGCGTGGAGCTCGAGGTTGACCTGCGCGCGATCGCTGACCAGCAGGTTGTCGCGCGCGTGCTTCAGCCCTTTCGCCTCGAGCGCCGCGAGCTCCTTGAAGAAGGCCTGCACGTTGAAGACCACGCCCGAGCCGATCAGATTCGTGCATTGTGGGTTGACGAGCCCCGAGGGCAGGAGGTGGAAGCTAAGCATGTTAGTGTCAAGGCAAGGTCTCAAGTCGTCGTTGGGGCGGTTCGGATCGCGGCACCGAAGAAAAGGGAGGGGTCGTACTCGTAAGACACGCCATTGGCACTGCAAATTGGGTCAATTAGTATCATACGGCTCCCAAGATGTTCCACAATGGCCAACGTACACGACAGAGTGGCCGGCGTTATGGCCACCGGCGGCGCGGGCGCAAACGCGCGCCTTCTGGCAGAGGATGTCACTCAGCTTTCCCTTGCCCTCGTCCCCTGGTTAACAACACCCTTGGTTAGCCGGCGCATCTTGTAAAGACAACCTCAGAAGGCCAAAAAAACGAAAAGGGCCGTAACCTACCCCATTGGGCACCTAGAATGATAGTCGCCATGTTCGAAAAAGTCACCAAAACCGTCAAAGAAGCAGTCAATTCCACAATCCGTCTGCCGACGGGGAGGGAAAAAATTTAAAAATCGGAAGTTTCACGCAAATCCCGGGCCTCTCTTTCCAAGGCGATTCGCGGGGTTTGGTGGGGCAAACAGCCGGGTCGTCTTGAGTCACCAACAATTAACCACGCCGCGGGAACTCACAGCGGTGTCGCTTGCGACTGTAGCGCCAATTCTCCAAACGCGGGGCATTTTCGCTTGCTATGACAGAGCCAAGCGCGGGGCAACCCCCCCGGAAATGCCTCTCTTTGTTTTCGGCTCCGAGACCGGGTAAAATTCACCTGGGAATACACTACAAGTCGGGCATAGATGCTTCAAAATCCACAATGTCTTTTCGGTTTACTAGGTCGCCGCATCCCATGTAAAGGCCGGTCTCCCAACTGTTTGCAATCTTTAGTTTCTTTTCGGACCGCCGTTACTTAGGTTCCTCCACCGAGCAAATTGCGCAGTTTTTACACAAGAATCGGCTGCTCTGCCGAGAGACTCCACTTTTCCGATTGCATGCCACCGACACGTGGGGGTTATTTACGTTTGCGAGACAACTACCAAGCACACCTTTTGCCCAAACAAGATCTCGACCGGTCGGAAATCACAGTCATGAGAAAATTTCTTGATTCCCTTCGAGACAATGAGTCTTTTCGTGAGTCCGTCACTCTCCGCCTCCTACCTGACGGGAACGGCTGAATCATAGGCATCTCGGAGTCCGCCGAGTCCCGTCTTGGTCTGGGTCCGGTTCACGGAGGGAACTATTGGGTCTTGCAAAACGCCAAGAAGAGTGAAAAAATATATGTGAATTGGTGTTGAATGGCAGTGAAGATATCGATTAACTTGTAGGAACTTGTGTTGAAATACTCAGGGAACAGGCACTATTAAATCAACGTGTCTCTCACACCTACGGGCTGATATCACATGTCAGCAAGGAATTCCCAGAAAATGGGATTTGCGGCTGAGAAATGGCAGAAAATAAGAAATCACACGAACGTAGTATGCGGCTTCCGTCAACGTGGGTGGCTTGACGAGTTGCATATGAAGCGGCATCAAGTTAATAATGGATATGCACTGGGTCTCCGTTTGGGTTGGTCCTCCTCCGGACTTCGTAGAAAACGTTGTATTGTTCACCGCTCCATCGAGTTTGTTCTACACCCTCGAGTGCCTTCTATCACCCACTTCTTCTCGTTATAAATGGTATAACATAGTACGTGGGCATCTAATTGGAGAAGAGGGGTAAAAATGCACCTATATGAAAGTTGAAGTCACTTGCTATGTCAAGAAATTGGCCGGGGACTGGAAGCGTGTGCGGGACCCACCCATTCAGCTAGGATTTACCAGCTTCAGAACACCAAGTTTTTGCCATGAGACTGTTCTCAACAAACAACACCTCGCTTGACTTTATTGCCCGAAATTGTTCCCGAGAAGAGACCCCTCATTCAATCATCTCAATCACTTGAAGCTGGCTCCTATGCGGACTTGACGTTCCCTGGAGGGTGGGCAGAATGTACCTACACGTAATCTCGCCATGCGGGGGCCGAGACTGTTTACTCCTTCGCTCTAAAAGTCCACGGTTACGAACTTGTTTGTTTATCGGCCTTGATCCAATCTCGAGTTGGTCGTAGAATAAGCCAAGGGCGTTCAACAATATCGTCGCTATCTGGGCAGGCGGTGGGTGCGCTCGTGGGCTGCTGCCATGGCGGGGAGAAGGCGAGAGATTGAAGCACTGACCACCACTTTCCCTTTCTGATAACCAGCGGCAGGATGAGCCAATCAACGCACTTCAGCATCACTTACACAAATCTGATGGGAAAGCGGAGATGTTTTCGGGAGTTGATCTTGGACGATCCGCTGGCCCATATACATAGTAGCGAGCCGGTTCTGAGATTTAAGAGGCCCCTCTGCTTGACCGAAGACGAAGCCAGTCTGACGGTTTGGTGAAGCAGACTCCCAGCCGCTGCTTTACATTGGGCTGCTGGTGACCGGTGGTTTGCCGTCGCAAGCAACGTCGGCCGCTCAGTGGGCGGTAGAAACAACAAGTGGTAACAAAACCCGCCACTTAGCCCGATCACATGCGCGCTCGAAGCTGAAACCTCAAATTGTTGAGGACCGGATACCGTAACTCCCGTCCTGCGTACACACATGGGGAAGGTGTCAGAATATCTCGTGTGGGGCGCCCGGCGCGGTTTGGGATACCGAGGCGGGACGACTTGCCGAGCATCAACACAGGAGTGTCTCACAAGCTCTGGAAATGAGATTTTCCAGAACGCGCACGCCAAGATTTGAGATTCCGGGGAAGCGGAAGTGGTGTTGTGCAAGTTCTGTCGCTTGGCTGAAAGGCTGTTGGGGAGGAGTGGGGCGAGGTTTTTCGTTTTTGTTGAATCGCCATTGTCCAATAGGAAGAGGGCGCATTCGAGCTTTCACCCCTGCCCCGGCAGATCAGCTTTCGGGACGGAGAGGTTCGACATGGATCACGAGTGTTTTTCTGATATTCTGTCTTTGGAAACGAAGCATGTGATAGTCGTAAAGGCTAATGTGGTGTACGACTTCCGATTATCTGGAGCGATCTGGTGGATGGCGCAAAGGATTTCGATTTTTTATAACAAAATCCACCTCGGGACGGCCCTTGATGGCTCCATTTACAATCTCGCTGGGGCCGCCAGCACACAAACACCACGATCTTTGTTCTCCGCGCCTGAACGTTGGGACCCCTCATTGCCAACCGGCCCGCTTCGTTGGCGCTATCGGGCTCCGCGGGGTGGCATGTGAAGGCGGTCTGCGTCTCGGCTGTGAGTGATATGTGTTGCTTCCTGTGTCTGTGTGTTCAAGATGATGTACTTGTAGGTACCTTGTACTGTTCCTGAGCGCTCTGTTGGAACTCTGGTGGAACAGCAGCAGCAGCAGCAGAAGAGCCGCTATTCTTGAAGTGCGTTTCTAATGATTGCTTCTTGTGCCCATGAAGTGCTTAGAAGAGCGTATGTAGTCGAACTCAGTTACCGAAAACCAGCATGGCGTGATGAAGTGGGGGGAGGAAGTTGTTGCCTCGGCAAGTCTACTTGAGGAGGAACAACAATCGGGCCTGCTTTCCTTTCTTGCAAGTCGAGTGTACGTTCCATTTCTCCGCGTTTATCGTTCTCCACTAGCCAGGTGCGTTGTTCGGCCGCTTATCCATTTGATCTGTTCCTGCAAGTACAAGAGAGGCGAGAGGCGAGTCCACACTCAGACCCCGGTGTGTGACATGCATATTTTATTTGGCGGGAAAAGCGTTGGGAAATTTTTTATTTTTTTCTTTGCAAAACGACCGAGCCACCACCACCTTTCCAGTTTCTTGACTCTTTCTTGACAACCTCACAGCTTCCTCCATCGACACCCAAACCGTCAAGATGGGCTTCGAGTCAGTCACGTTGTCGCTGCCGCAGGCGTCCCTATTTCAGTTCCCCCCAAACCCGAATTCGGGCTTCATCCCCCCACCACCCACCGGCAGCACATCATTCGCCCCTCCGGTTGATATCCCAGATCACCTCTATAACGCCGTTCTCGACGCGAAAGTCCCCATCACCATCGCCCTGGTCTACGCCGTGACCGCCAAAGCCCTGAACGCCTACAACAAGTCTACCAACAAGAAGCCCTGGGCCATCAGCAAGACCCTCGCCTTCCGCTGGTTTGTCATCGCCCACAATGTCTTCCTGGCCGTTTACTCGGCGTGGACATGGTGGGGTATGCTCGGCACTCTGAGGCGCTCCCTCGTCAGCCCACTGGGTCCTCAGGGAGTTTCCGGCCTTGTTGACTCGTTGTGCCGAGTCAACGGTGCGGGTGGTCTGGGCAACGCCGCTTTCTTCGACGATAGCCAGAATGTGTGGCAGACCTACTCGCCCGAGGCCGTTCTGGACGCCGAGGGAATGCCGAGCCGTTTCGTGGCTGGTCGTATGTGGAACGAGGGCCTTGCCTTCTACGGCTGGCTCTTCTACCTCAGCAAGTTCTACGAGGTCGTCGACACCCTCATCATCCTCGCCAAGGGCAAGTACAGCTCGACGTTGCAAACCTACCACCACGCCGGCGCCATGATGTGCATGTGGGCAGGTATGCGCTACATGTCGGTACCTATCTGGATCTTCGTCTTCTTCAACTCGTTCATCCACGCCCTGATGGTAAGCCAATTCTGCTGTGTTCGGCGAGTTTGAATGTGTTAGACTAACCAAACGTCATAGTATACGTATTATACCGTCACTGCTTTCAACGTCCGCGTACCCGTTTTCATCAAGCGCACCTTGACCTCCATGCAAATCACCCAGTTCCTGGTCGGTGCGTCGTGCGCCATGATTCACTCTTTCGTCAAGTACAGCATCCCTGTTATCGCCAGCTCCCAGACCGATGCGCCGGCCTCGGCCGCTTCTGCTTCGGCCAACAACACCGTGATTGCTGCTACCGGTAGCGTGTTCGGCAACGTCAAGGGCACCTACGCGCGCCGTACTATGTCCTGCATCACCTCGAGCGGTGAGACCTTCGCCGTCTGGCTTAACGTTTTCTACCTCGCCCCGTTGACCTACCTTTTCGTCTCCTTCTTCATCGAGAGCTACCTCCGCCGTAGCAATGCGGGCAGCAGGTCGAACAAGCGGACCCCTACTACCGGACTCGACGCCCGTCGCCTTAGCAACAACGTTCAGCTTGCCGAGAAGGCTGGCTGGGAGGCTGCTCGTAATGTTGAGCGCGAGGTCTATGGCGAGAGCAACGAGGAGGCTATCATTTCTGAGAGCCAGTCGACCGATGCCCAGCCCACTCCCAGTGGCCGGGTGCTGCGCAGCAGGCGGGCTTAGGTCAGTGGAAGGAAACCCAGAGCAGCAATGGGTTGTCAAACGGGGAAGGGGTAGTGGGCTAGAGCTGGAGTCACTAGACGCTAAGGATACTCGGGCGAGCCAAAGAAAAGATCTCAGATGCTCGTTGCGGCAACCCGGGATAGATTTAGAGGGAACACGATTCCTACAAGCTAACTCGCGACGGCTTGTGCAAGAGCGGAGTTGGCTAAATTGGCCATAAAGTCGGTCAAACAACCAGCAGCGCGTGGAAGAGCGAGGACTCTTTCCAGCGTATCCTGGATACTTTTATGAGCGAAAGAAAGCATCTTGGAGAGGGAGGCAGGACTTTAGGATGGGAGTTGCATTGCATTGCATTTTCGGTTTTCGGTTTTCTTTTTCGATCTCATTATTTGGTCTTGTGTTCTCATTTTTACAGCGAGCGGGTCATCAACTGGGTAGGCAGGACTGGTTAGGTCAAGGTTTGGGAAAAGGAAATCGGAAAGGGGGAATGCCGATAGGGGGAATGAAGTGGCATCCATGCATGTATGTAGCTGAGGCTCCCATTGCATATCACACAGAAGATTCTTCCCCAAGTTTAGCAATCACCGAGTGTGGACTGGACAATTGGTAATGTGAAGGGTCCGAAACAAGTGAACCGTAGAGAAGTTGGTGAAAAAGGAGGTATGGTCGCAGTTTGAAGTCGTATGGTACGCCGTGACGCCCTCACCATTCTCTGGCAGTTTCGAACAAGTATGTTTTGAAAAGCTCCACAAATAGTGCTTTAGGTCACAAGTCGGATTGTCATTGGAGGTACTCTATACAAGCGTATAAACCGTAGACGAGCCCATCACCCTGCCACGTTCACTCACCTCTAGTGTAGCAGCACACCCGGATCCGTCGCACAAGACTCGGACACTCACTGGCAAGGGACCCCCATATTCATATAATGTAGAAACTCATCGCTCTTCACGTTCATCTATCAGAAATCTATCTACCCATCCCCCCTTCTTCATCATATGCTACCCGAGTCCATGCTATGCGCCTGTCCCACACTATCCCCCCTCTTGTATGCAGCAATTAAAACCGTACGCACGATACCCCCATGTGCTTATGTGTGAGAAAAAGTCAAGCAAGATCCGGAAAGAAGCAGGAAAGGGAACCCCAACGCCAGCTCCACGCCGATTAGACAAATGCCCAATCCTGTAGACAGAACGTGTCTGATGCAAATCATGCTCCGAAAATGTGAAAACAAGACACCTGACATGATGTTGACACTCCCCCAAAACTGAGCAAGAGAACACGAGTCCATGGGGGTAAAAAGGGATGATGAAAAAATGTTCAAGAAACAGACAACCACAAAACAGTTCAAACGGCCAGACACTTCCGTCCCCAGAAATCGAAAGAGTCATATCCTCTCCCCATCATCACGGGTATATCCTCCAATCATCTCTGCGCTTCATCCGAGTCCTCTTCTTGCTGCCCACGCTCAAAAATGATAGATGGAACCAAGACACGCCCGCTGTTCCCCGCTTGTGTAATAAAGGACAAAGGGCAGAACAGATCTCCGAGAAGTTGAAACATCTAGCCGCCAGCCTGCCGTATGATTTAAAGGAAACAAGGAAAACAAGGAAATAAAGGAAAACCTAGGAAATCCCAAGGTGTCCCCAGTTTCTCTGGGGCGCGAATTGTTCTATGTTGTGACCATTCTAGAACACCTGTATGTGCCCTCTTCTCTTCAAGCAATGGAAGGAGATAAGAAAAGTGATCCATGGGCGTCGTATTTTGCCGCAAAGGTGCATTGCATCGGTCGAGGATAGGGTCGTTATTTGTTGCCGGCCATTCTTCGGATGGATCTAGTGTCGCCTAACACCACTGCACCAGTATGTGATTCGTCGCTCACACCGTTTGATAACCCGCCACTTAAAATGTACTCCAGTTCCAATCCCTCGGCACACTGTGCGCGGCATCCTGGGCGTGTACCGGTAGTTGTCCGATGTTCGCGGCGGTCGGCGAGGTAGCTACTGGGGTGGAGGGAATATCGAACTGGTTCTGAAGCTGGCGACCGTGGGCACTATCGGGCGAGCTGCTAGTGGACAACTTGCCGGTCGCAAGGATGCGCCATTCCTTGAACTGCATGTAGCAGTGGCCGCACGCACGGCTGGGCACGCCACGAGGGTTAAAGTTGGCGTCTTGGTCAAGAGGGATCTCGAAAGCGCTATGGTCATCGCAGAAAATATTGCCGCATTTACGGCAGTGATGACGGCGGATAAAGTAGCTGAAATGCCGCTTGCAGGCTGTGTCGTCGCAGATCGTCGACTCCTGGTCAGGCTATATGAAGTCATGTTAGTGTTGGCTGTGATGTGAGAATGAATCATTGGGGAGGACACGCACCTTCCAGTGCTGACGAGTGGGTAAGCCCGTCGGTGCGGGGAACTGGTCAAGATTCCAAGTGCTATCGGTCGATTTAGAGCTGTCGCCGGTAGACCGTCTGCTTAAACGACTAAATGCGCTGAGACCGCCAAGGCTCATGAAGCTGCTGCTGGGACGCAGGCCTTCTTCAGGTGTAACATCGCCATCTTCTGAGGATGGCCGAAGCGGAGGCTCTCTAGACGGAAACTGGGTCGGGCGAAGCACAGCCGGGACGTACAAGGGCCGAATTTGGCGAGTGATGTAGTTTTTGGAAGAGGTCGGCGAGATGCTCCCTTGGGTCGCAAGCGGTGAGATGGGCGAGTTGTACTGCGTGGATGGAGGGTAGGCTGTTGTGATGAGCGTGGGGTGGAAACCAGCCTGCTGAGCGCGAAACTGTTGGCGTTGTTGTTGGTGCGCCGGTGGGTAGTACGGGCTTTGTTGCTCTCCGGGCGCCCGTGGCATTATGAAGTCGGTCGCCATGGAACTGAGAAGGGTGGTTTTGGTGATACGCTAGGATGCAGTGCAGTACTATGGACAGCGGCGATAAGACAGTGGGGGTCAGAAACACCCACGCCGAGACAGTGTGGCTTCTTTGTTGGACCCCGAGTGACCAGGTGGAATCGACCGAGCGGAGTCGAAAATTGAAAGAAGGGTTTAGTATCCTTTCTTAGGATCGCTCAAATATGTACTTCTAGGTTGGCCAGAAAGCAGGCGAATCGGCTGCCAAGGAAACCTAAGGTTCGGGTCGAAGGAAACAACAGTGGCAAGAATCCCGGGTGAGTTACCAGTCGGTCGGCAACAACGAATCGAGACAGCCCTAATTCGAATTGCAGCCGCACTGCCACAAACGGGTTAACGTGCCGGCAGGCGGATTGTCGGGGCGGGGCTTGCTTTGACTTTCGCACCAAGCGCGAATCTGGGGGAGGAGAGGAAAAGCAAAACAACGTTCGAAAACTCAAGAGGAAAACAGAACAACGGCCGGAGGTTGAGGACGAGGGCGACAACGAGGGCGTTCTCTTTTCTTATTGCAGGTGGACCGGCCAAGCCGAACGGGAAAGGGTCCAGCGCTCCAGGAATCCTTGGATCCGAGCTTGGGAGAGCCCCAGAACACCCACCGATCTTCTTCCGGGCTGGGCAAAAGGAGCGGTGGAACCAGGAGTCAGGGCGTTGTGGGTGGGAGAAAGCACAGCCGGTGAAACCCTGCTCCCTGTCAAGTCGCGAACGGCAACTGCTCTCATGCTTTCCCCGCTGAGACCGACAGGCTGCTTGCCACTGGAGGCTCGCAGCGCTTCTTCCACTATAGCATACTTATCCGAGGCACGTGTCTGTTTTCCCCAAATCCGGTCCCTTTACGCTTAGCCACGGCGCCGCTGCGATGACGGGCATGAACTAAAACATAATCGAGATGCGTATCGGGGAAGAGTTGGACGGATGGCCGCGCACGACGCGGCAACGGAGCGTTTGCCCATTTGCTCCGTGCTTTGGAGTGTCAAAGTAACACTGTCCCAAGTGTACCCATGAACCATGAACCACGAACCCTGTCATCGTCGCTTCCCGTTCACCCCTCACCTCGTTTGGCACGTCGCCAAACGGCTGCTAACTCGCCTCTGAAAACCCCCAGTGTTCTGCGCCTGTTACTCCGGCGTCTTGTATTCCCGATGTATCTGGAGGCTGATCAGGTTGTCAGGGACGATTAGCAAGGGATGTTGCGAAGTCTGCCATCTGCAAGGCGCTTCTTGTGGTCAAATGGGGTGCCTCCGCGGAAGCCGCAACGGGGGAATGTGACGGGGTGGAAACAGGTGGAAAGGCTTACATGTGACGTTATCGGGGCAATGTAGGAAGCGGATATTCGCCTGCCGGTGTCTTGGCGACCTTTGTGCCAAGCGCGGTGGCGGGGAAGCTTTTGGCCGATGCTGCCTGCAGGCGGGCATGTGACCAAGACACTGGTGACTTTGCGCATTGACTGGCCGCCTGGCCCGCTCTGAGCCAGAACTGCCGGCCAAGGCGCATTCTTAACAAGGAGTTCAACATCGACTTTGAGAATTACGAACACGCCAATCCCAGTCAACCCTTGAATAATATAACCAACACACACCACGAGCCGGGCCCCTCTCAACAGTCGCCCCACAATCCCGAGACCGAAGGCTTAGCCGACTCTGACAACCTGACTCCCCTCGATCCACTCACCGCCCAATCTGTCCCTCTGTCGATTCGCAAATACTGCCAGATACGAATCAACATCCCATCCAACAACCGCCACCATGAAGCTCTACTACGTCGGCGTATGTTTGTCCTATCCTATGTTCACTCTTAAAGGAAGAGCTCGCTGGCTAACAGCGACATGACAGGTTCTCGACAACACCAAACAGCCTGCGCTGCAGCTGTGCGCCGCACACGAACTCAGCGACTTCTCGCGCTTCACCCGAAATGAATATGGCAACTTCATGACGATGATCAGCAAGACTGTGGCCGAGCGGACGGGGCCCGGTCAAAGGCAGAGTGTGGAAGAGCAGGGTGAGTTGTCAACACGATGGAGCTGGCGTAGACTACACAAAGAGACATCGACGGGGACTGACATATCGAGGAGACTACGTTGTCCACTGTTACGCCCGGTCCGAGGGCGTCGCTGGCGTGGTTATTACCAAGGACTACCCGCACCTGGCTGCGCACAGCGTGCTGTCGAAGCTGATGGACCAGTTCCTGTCCGAGGTTACACTCGACACCATCAAGGCCGCCGAGAACGACGGCGACGTTTCGTTCCCTGCGCTACAGGATTACCTCAACAACTACCAAGACGCCAACGAAGCGAGCAGCATCGCCAAGATCCAACAGGAACTTGACGATACCAAGATTGTTCTGCACAAGGCCATCGATAGCGTATGATGAACCCTGACTTTCCTCCAGAAGCAAACGCAGAGAACTAACGATCTGCCTCCTTCAGGTCCTTCAACGTGGCGAGAAACTGGACGACCTCGTGGCCAAGTCCTCCGACCTCAGCGCTCAGAGCAAGATGTTCTACAAGTCCGCCAAGAAGCAGAACTCGTGCTGCATCTTGATGTAAGTGGGAGGAAGGAAGGATAACATGAAAACGAACGACGCCGCGCCGGAGCCGCCGAACACCTCTTCCGGGTACCCGAAATATGTGTCGGCTTAGAACACTGGGGACTTCCCACCCTCAATTCTTTCCGCGTCCATCATCGACCCCCTTAAGCATTTACCAAGCGGGCATGCCGCCCGGTTTTGATAATACCGTCGGTTTCTCCGGAGAAGGGAAAGAGAGAGATCACCCTGGCTTGAGTAGGGGTATTCGGGGCTGGCCGGCCAATAAACGAAGGACGAACGTGACCGCATCTCTCTTTTATGTTCGGTGCGTCGCTTGGATATGGCTGGTGACTCATTTCGAGGCTGTAAACGAGAAAGAAACCTTGAAATGAGGGCAGGGAAGTGAATCGTTGGAGAGCAGGCTTGACCGAAATAATGATACCTCACTTGCATATAACATTGTTGAATACATGGCTCTAAGAAGGACAAGCAGGCGGCGGATGGCAGATATAGCTAGTAGATAACTGTCGTTTCATTAGAAATCCCGTCGCTGTTTGATGACAACCTAAGTTCATGTTGGTGAGGCTAAGTCCTCTCAACCGAACCCTTGAAGTCGAGACCCACTGCATGAATACTTCGATATGTGCATATTCTTTTTACGGACCTTGTCGGAGGTCTGTGACGAGGAATTACGCAGTGTTTCACGCATGTCTGCATGGAGTCCGTACCATTCGTATTCTATTTCAAGGTGTTGCATCGCAGGTTACCAAAAGCCCACATCCAGAGTTGTCTGTAATTCTGTTGTACATATCCGTCCATCAAGGGAGTTGCATCGACGAGATGAAATGCCGCAGGAAGCGCCCTCCTCTTCTGCGCTCCCCATGCAAAGGTGCCTAGCCCCCTCTCCCCTCACGAGCTATTCACACGATGTCACCACTAGAAGTAACTCATCGCAAGCGATCATCGAAATCAACTCTGGTGGGTGGGACGATCTGTGCCGCCGATGGACAAGAGATCGGGGAGATGAGGCGAGCGTTTGAATGTGAACCGATTGGATTGTCATTCATGCATGTGTCGGTAAGACATACAATCAACCCCGAAAACGAAACCAACAAGCCAACCAGAAAAGTTTGTTGACAACGGCTTTCTTTGCTCTTGTCTTCTCTTGTTGATCTCTCCGCTGAAATGATGGATCAATCGGCATGGAGGGGAAGAGGAGGGGCGAGGAGCTTGAGGTTGTTGGTGACAGACTGTGAACAACCCGAAATGCAATGTTTCTTTCTGTTATGCACATTCACCTGAATCAAAGAAGTAATCCGGTCAAATTTCTTCGTCGGTTCTGCACACAAGGTTGCAGTCCGAGCCAGTTCGGATCTCATTACGCAGTACATTATTCGTATCTTTCAACAACACGGGACATTCCCCGTCATGCATTTGGGTTGTTGTGTGAATTCAACGTGAAGGCTTGAGCGAAGGATGAGGGTTCAATGTCCTTCGCTCCGCCAAGAGGTACCACCGCATGGCCCAGGGTCTCCCCCGACCATTTTGGCCACAGTGGGAGGAAATAGCCAGGGTGTGATTGGCCACCGTCAAGAAAAGGTTATCGTCGACTGGTGATTGGACAGGTGGGCTGGGGCTCTGTGTGGTTCTTGCTGCCCAATGAGGTGCAGATCGCGGAAGCGGCGACCCCGGATTGGTTGGGGGCGGGGCGAGTCGAGGTTTCGCTTTCCACCTCATCTTTGAGACTTTCCGCCTCGAATGTTTCGGCCTGAGTCGTTGTTCAAGGGTTGTTGACAGAAGACGGGACGGTGTTGTCATTCGAAGCATTAGATTCCCGGAAGACATACTGTACAGAGAAATGGGAGTTCTCAAAGGCTGACAATCACCTCTCGGCGGAGACGCTTGTCGTCGGCGTGTCTTGTCCAGACTTGACCAGGGTTATTTGATTCTTGTTACGTCATGACAAACAGGGGCCATTCGCGCCGGCGTAATGTCCGGCCCCATCCGGGTGTGGAAGGGCGTTAAGCTGACAGAGAGCTCCAAGCAGTGCGGCTTCCGATCGTCGGTTGTTGGTTGCGACTTTGCGAGCGAGATGCAGCTTCGGGAGTGGAGAGACGGAGACGAAGCGAAGTTGCAGTTCAAGGGTTTGTCGACACAACGCTTTTTGAATGAGCCGCTTGAGGCCAGGAAAGGCCCTTCTTTGAAAGGGTTCTTTCCGAAAAGAATTTAACGGCCCGCGAGTCCCGTTGTTGAGGAGGGATTTTTAAGAGGTCCTTGCTGGAAGTAAGTGAAATCAGAGACCGAAGGACTCGAGACGGAAGTCAACATCCATTTCTGGCCCATTGTCGAGACCCTGAAATTTACCGCGCTATGCCGGCCCACTCAGGACATGCATGGCAAAGTGGCTAAGAAAAGTGACGGTTTGTTTTTTGAAGGAAGACAGAATATTGGTGCCAGGAGTACCTGAGCGTCTCAAGTTGAGAGATATGGCCGTCCCCTAAGCTGCTTTCCCATGTAAACAAACCTCAACCAATGCGCGTCGAAGGTACTGATGCGCCGATATCGTGAACGACATTTCCTCTCTCCCGCCCATCACTCTCCCTTCTTCTCGCCCTCCACCCACCGTCCGCTCTTCCCTCCTTCCTTCAACACCACCCGCAACCCCTCCACCACCATCCCCTTATCCACCGCCTTACACATATCATACACCGTCAGGGCCGCCACAGATGCGGCCGTAAGCGCCTCCATCTCCACTCCCGTCTTCCCATCACATGAAACCGTAGCCGTGATCTCAATCTCATCTCCACCTTGTTTCCCATCGATCTGGCCTTCCTTTCCTTCCTTCAACACCAACTCCACCTCCGCATGCGTGATCGCGATAGGATGGCATAACGGAATCAGAGCGGGCGTGCGTTTGGCTGCCATGATGCCCGCGATGCGCGCCGCGCCGAGCACGTCGCCTTTGCCGATCTGATTGTCGCGGACGAGTGCCAGCGCGGTAGGTGAGGAGAACCGCACGGCGCATTTTGCGCGGGCGACGCGTTTGGTTGGTGTCTTGTCAGAGATCGAAACCATGTGGGCTGTGCCCGATGCCGTGACATGTGTGAGTTTGGGTGTGCCGGACCCGGAGTTGTCATCCTTGTTTTCCAACGATCGGGTGGAGGTGGTTGAGAAGAGGCGGATAGCAGATTGTTGGGCAACGGCGTCTTGTGAGGAGAGCATGAAACTGGGAATGTTGCGAGGGAGTGTGGGAGCGGAGAGGCCGGCTAGATGCCGCCATGGGGGTCTCGTAGAACGTGTCCGCGACGACGAAGGTGTATCTACAATTCCTATTTAGCTACGATGCTCGTACATGCTATGCAAGACTCCAATGCCCTTAAACAAGTTGTAGTATGCCCAACAAATAGCTCCAAACTATGCCTCAACGCCAAACAATGCGCCAGATATGCTGAAATTGGGGGGACATCACCCACCAATCAAGATCATTGGCCGGTTCTTCATGTGTTCCAGCTCCCCGATGCCCGCGTGCTTCTCCTTCTTTCTCTTCACGGCCGAGCCGATGACGTTCAGTAGTTCTTCCGAGTTGGGTAACACTAGCGCCTCAGAGTCTGCGCTGCTGATATCCCCTAATCGTTCCCTTGCAGCTTGCTCCAGCGACTTGAAAGCCGCTTCGTCGATGGGTTCGCCGCCGTTCACCTGGCGGACGATGTCTCGCAGCGAGACTTCGGCATTTCCAAATAGACACACCTTCAAATTTCCGTCGCTGGTGATACGAAGTCTGTTGCATGTTCCGCAGAAGTTGTGCGTCATGCTCGTGATAAATCCAAGCTTGCCCGCAAACCCGGGCACTTGGAAGGTCTTGCTTGTGTCGTTTTTGTGGCCGGTGACCCTCTCCAGGTCTGGGTATCGGGTACGGATAAGGTCCAGCATTTCTTGGTAGTTAAACATCTTGCCTTCGCTCCACTTGTTACCGTCGAAAGGCATATACTCGATGAAGCGCACCTCGACGTCCTTGTCCCGCGTTAGGTCCACAAATGGTAGAATCTCGCGGTCGTTCAGCCCACGCATAACAACGCAGTTGATCTTGAACTTTATCCCCGCGCCGGCGCGGTTCAGCTCAAAAATGCGGTCGATGGTCTTTTGAACTGCGCTGAATCCTGCCCGCCGCGTCATCAACTGAAACTGCCAGGGGTCCAGTGTGTCGAGCGAGAGGTTAACGCCCGTCAGGCCGGCTTCGACCATGGGCTCCAGCTTGCGGTGCAACGAGAGTCCGTTGGTGGTTAAACACAACTCGCGTAGGCCATGGCTTCGCAACGCCCCAATCTGCTGCATCAGGGGCACAATATCTCGTCGTACCGTCGGTTCCCCGCCCGTCAGCCGGATTTTGGTAACGCCCTGTGACACGAAGAGCGAGGAGAGCATCACGATCTCCGGCGTGGTCAAGAGCTCGCGGGATGGTGAAAGTGGCACGCCCTCCTCAGGCATACAGTACAGACACCGCAAGTTGCACCGTTCCGTGACTGAGATGCGCAGGTAGTCGTGTTGCCGGTGAAAGGTATCGGTCAAGAACTCGGAGAACGGCTTGGCGTCCCGGATGCGGTCTCGGCGCGGGGTGATAACCGGAGGTGCCGGTGCCGGGCCGTCCCCGCGGCCGGGAGTTTCGGCTAAAGGTGTCGATAGACTCCGTGGAGGTGGTGGCGTTACCGGCTCGGGTATGTGAGTTGCGACAGCCCCGGAAGCTATGCCCCTCCTTGTTTGACACGAGGCCATCCAAGGTGTTGGCGCCACCTGCAACGCGCCGACCCGCATACGGCGGGCGGCACAGCGCAAAGTCGCCGCCATGATCTCGGCTCAGCACGCTTTCGCACTTCTTGTCCCGAAATCCTAGCAGTTTTTAGCACTTCAGCCTTCGTGATGGAGGTCGTGGAACCGGCGAGCGTGGCAGCGCATGTCGTGGAACGTGGAGATATTGATGAATTCTGGAGGCCAGGCGGGCCTAAGGGGTCGAGTCATATCACGGTTGAAGGTGACTGTGAATTTTTGGCGGATTTTCTAATTGCCTTGTCCTTCCGCATTGGAAATACGAAATCAAATGGAGAGGTGACTCAGCAATTGAGGCGAGCTCGGCGAGCTGCGGGAGGTTCTCCGCGGCCAGAGGCGGGATTCGGGAAGAGCGGGGCATTTCTTGGCCCTTGGAACGGCTCGGAAGTCGGCGAACGCCCACCCGACGCCCTCTGGACCCACTCGACTTTGTTTCCTTTCCCCATTGTTTTGTTTGCACGCACAGACCGTATCTGGTAGTATCAGGCAAGAACAACCCAGCAGCTCACCGGGTCGGGATAACACAGGCAAGAGCAATACGGCAGATCGTCTTTCCTGAACTGGAAATTAAGCATGAAGAACCTGATAACTTCTTCCCCTGCTTTCCTCACCTTTTCTGGCTTACTTGTGCACTCCGTAGCTCGGTCCCCCCAGCACTCGCGATGCGATTTTCTCCGGCGCTGAAGTGTACGTGCCCCTTTACGAATCTGGGGTTTTCAGTGAGGGTGCAAACCGTCTGGACTTTGCTGCCATCATCCGCAATATTGACAAACCAACAGCTTCGCCCCATTCCCTCCCGAGCCCAGATGGCAATTATGTCGCGACGGTCTTCGGATCGGTGATCAATGTCCGGGCCGTTGCGGGATTCGGTATCATCAACGTGGCCAAACTCGGCCAGGACTTTGCAGGCCCTGTTCTGAGCTTCCAATGGTCGCCATCATCGCGTCTATTACTTGTCGCCGACCGGGAGCGTATCCGTGTCGTGTCTGCGCTGGACGACAGCTTCAGCGCGACCATCCGGAATTTTGTTACAGCAGGAACTAAACCGGCGTATATTGGCTTTGGGGCTTCGGACGTTGAAATTTGCGTCATATCCTCATTTGGACTCAAATTCTCCGTCTTTGATCTCACCACCTCCAAGGCGATAGAGATCGGCAGCCCCAAGGTCTTCTCTTCGTCGACCGCGTCGAAATGCTTTTCAATCCGACCCGATACACGTCACCTCGCCCTTCTGACAAGGTCGTCGGGTAAGGACATGGTGAGCATACACAGCTACCCGTCGAGAGAGCTGCAAAGGTCATGGGCACCCGACACCATCGATGCCCAAGCACTGGCATGGAGCCCTGACGGCAGGTGGCTGGTATTATGGGACTCGCCGGCCCATGGGCACAAAATCTTCTTCTACACATCCGACGGGCACGTTTTCAAGTCGTGGTCTGGGCCCGCCAACCCACTTCCCGAAGACCGAGATTACGCCATGGGGGCTGGCGCCCGGTCGGTCGAGTTTTCTGTAGACGCCCGTTATCTCGCCGTTGGTGATTTCAGCCGGTCCGTCTGCGTCCTGAGCATGGCATCTGTGACAGAGACAATGAGGCTCCGACACCCCAAAACGCTCATGCCTAAGGATACCCTCCAGGTCAGTCAAGGTGTACTAAACCGTGAGGGTTAATCTACCATGATGGCTAACTGCGTTTTATGATAGATATGGCAGGAACAAATCACCGCCTCTCACACAGGGCCCGCCATCCACACTTTTTTACGGACGGCACACGCCATCTCGCCGGCACCCGCCCTAAGGGATAATTCGGAGCCGGTGTCCGGATGCGCCTCTTTACTATTCGACCCTTCTTCGGCCCTTGTCGCCACGAGGCAAGACGACTCCCCCAGCACCGTTTGGATTTGGGACGTACAAGCCGCAGAGCTCCGGGCAGTCCTCCTCTTCAACGGGAATGTGGCTGGGCTTTCGTGGCACCCGCGTATCGCGGAAACCCTGCTTGTCAGGTGCGAGGGAGACCAATACAATGGTTTGATCTTCGTCTGGGATCCTCTCTCCGAAGGGCCCCGGTCTCTCGACTTTGCCCGGCACTTGCCCGGCGCTAAGGCAGGTGGGAAACTGCGCGTCCAATGGCTTGGAGCTGAGACGTCAACCCGCCCTTCTGTTTTCTTCTCAGATGCCCAAAATTATGTACTGGCCTGGCTTGGCGAAACGGACCAAGGTCCGCCGCCGTGGGGGGACTACGGACCATCTCGGCGTCACTCATTCTCAGAGGAGTGTAAAGAACGCGACGAGTCACCCCTAGACTTAGTACCGGCTTCAAGGACTAAACCTGAGGTACCAGACCTCGACGAGGACGACGACTACAGCGAGATGGAGGATACATTTGTGTTCAAGCGGTAGGATCCAGAGGGTTTCTGTGATTTTTTAATCCGCCACGCCGTTTTTCACTCCCCACATTCCCCTCCCCCCTTCCCGGGGTCAATTTTGATACTCGCGGCGAGGGCGGCAAGCAAGAAAAGGGGCCCGTCTGAATCTGATGGCGTCGAAGCAAAAGAAAAGCTCGGTCGGGAACAAGGGCCCACAGCAATTGGTTCAACTTTTCAGCCCTCATCAATCTCCGGGCTATGTTGCATGTCCACATATGCAAGTCCTGTCTCGTTTGGCAAGGACTGAGTGAGCATCAAGAAAAAATTCCATTGTTTGGCAACCCATCCATCTGAACGGGAGGAGTGCGAACCCCGCAGACGGCTCGTTATCCGGATCCTTCGTCTCTTCTTTGTTTTTTCTTTCCTTGGAGCAGGGGGGATTCGGCCCCCAAAGTCACCGCCCTGGCGCCCCAACTACAAAAGACGCTTCATTTTGTAGATCTAAGATTACGATTGGTCGTTTCTGAGCAGCTGTCGATTGCCGGCCCAGCGAAGACCATCGCTCGGCCAAAGCTTCCTATGGTGGGATGTTTTGGGACGTTTAGCGACAGACAAGCCCGGGAGTGGCTCCCGGGGTTTCATTGAACCCCCGCCAATATCATCCATCATTCGACAGGCCGCCCGCCAACAGTCAGCACTCAGCAGCCCACACATCGCTCAGCTTTCTCAGAAAAGAAGGGGACAGGACAGGCGAGCTGACCTCTCGCTGTGACACAACCGCTGCATGCCGTTGGAGGCAAACACCAGAACGTTGCAAGCTTGGCCACCCGGGAAGCTGCAGTCAACCCTGGGCGGTGAGCTTCTTCTGCTCGAATCTAGTCCCCTGTTTGCCGTGTCTCGAGCGCATGGGAGGAAGAATGGCGTCTGACTCGTTTACAGCACGAAGGTGGCCAGCGGCATGGTGGCGTTTGAATTATAGGGACGCCACTCAGAGTGCATTTTAGCTGCATTGTGCACGTTTTTTTCTTCTTTTTTTTTCGTGCCTTTGCCTGTGTCTTGTTGAGTCAATCACACTGTTTGGCCGTTGGACATCACCAACTGCATGCTTCGTTCTCTGGTGGGCCGGTCCTCGCTCCAAAACCCACTTAGAGGCCTGTTGGGCACTAAGACGCCCGGTCCCTGCTGCCGGGCCCGCAGCCAAAACTCGACCCGGTTGATTGGATCGACTAGGGCGTGGGCGGGGAGATATGGACGCCACCAAAGCCGGGAGCAACCAACGGGCAGTCTTTTTCAAGGTCTTTTAGGATATCAGAAGTTTGCCCGCGGGGCCGGAATTTGTCTTTCTCTGAGCATGGGGGAGGGGTGGCATGTTGAAACCGACGAGTTCGGCGTTGGACCACACCATGATGTCCATGATCTCCATGGTGCCTACGCTACTGCGTATTCGATGCATCTCGGAGCCGGGATGGGCCGCCATTGCACGACTCGAGAACCGCACCAGCTCTGCCGAGTGCTGTTCTGGTATTCTGCATCTTGGGACTCGGACACTACTTACCCAGTGATGAAATGTGACGGCGCGTCCTTCGCGTCCTGTACCCGGACTCGTTGGAGACATTCATCCTCTCCTTGTCTCCCTGGCCACGGAACGGGCTGGTCAAGTTCCTTCTGGCAGGGCCAGCTGCCCAATGGTCATGAGCTGCCGTTGATCCGGGGTACGCGACCCTTTTTAACTCGCTCCCGGCTCCGTTCGAGATTTTCAGATCGGCCCTTGCCCCGGGCACTTTCTAATTCCAACCACTCTGAGACCACTGCCGCGTTTCCAGTGGCGGTATTTTGCCTGGAGGCCTTCAGACACCACCCCTTCCTCGAGTATAAGCGTTACGAGTGATGAACTTGATAAACTCTTTGCCTTTACTTACTTCTTCCGCCGGCAACCTCTCGTTTTCAACGGTCCTCACGAGAAATTGGGTTGACTTGGGACATAATCCACAGTACGCAGTGAAAGACCAAGCAGGGCCCCCCAGTCGTCTTGTCAACGGCGCGCCGTCGTCATCTCCGGTTGTCTAATAAGCTCCCCGGAGACGCCCGTCGTCTTGTCGAACCGCCCAAGTCTAACAGCACGACGGTCCGTGATGCACCGAAACCAGCATCAGCACCGGAATTTGGAGGTGTTCACGGTCAAGCCGGGCCCCGAGACCGGGTTGTACTACATTTTGGTTGCGAACGTACGCGAGGAACCCCTTCTTCGCTTCGGCCGTGTTACTGGGTCCTCGAAACCCAACTGACAAATCCTGGACGCAGCTTGCCCACCGCACGACATGGAGGGAGCTCAAATCGTTCGCATCTCAGGCCTGTGAGGTGGACCATGCCGAAGTCTACCCTCCCACTTCGGGGTTCGTCCGGGTCAGAGGACGAGCCAACTTTGAGAAGGCGTTCAGTAAGACACATCGAGTTACCTGGAGGCCTAGCGACGACCGATTCTGACCCAAACAGGATATCTCGATGGCAACACGCTCGAATACCGCGCGCTGCAAGCAGATGGACGAAACCTAAACCAAGACACCGTCGTCAAGCTCTTGCTTACCGATTACCACGCGGTGAAGATCATGCGAGGAGACAACACGAGAGTGGTGGCCGAGCCGGGCGATCCCCCAACCGAGCCCTTGGAAGTGCTGTCTCAGGGCCTGGGAGGCATGACGTTAGCAGGAGGTGCGTACCTGGATTATCAGGGAAACCCTAGTCCGGGGCTCAGCCTGGGTGATCTTCAGTGGCGCTACCCTACCGGACCCCCGTACGGCGGTCGGGGTTACCAACCCGCTCCAGCTCCAGCCTTACGTCCACCGGGGCCCTTGGCATACCCCGCGATGGCCGTCCCGAACCAGGGATTCGTCCCGCAACCCGTTCTTGGTCCCCCGCCTGCGGTCTATCAGGGTGGGGCGAACAACTCCTCGGCATCCACCTCGCCGCAAACCGCGATTGTCCCATATCCGTACGGCGAGAGTCCGACATACTACCCTCAGGGAGCTGTTTATGATGGGAGAGCCCCGAGTTACACAGGTTTTATCCCACCGCCGCCGCCACCACAACCGGGCAAGAATAGTGGTCCTTATACCAACCCGGCATACGACTACTCTTCCGACGCGCTCACGCCGATACAGCCCGACAATGTGCCATCGATTATTGACAGCCGAGCAGCCGGCGTGTTTGAACCACGCAAGATTCTCATCCGCGACCTCGAGCGCGAGGGGCTGTCAGAACCTGCCGTCACAGCCCTGCTTATCCAGCACACGGGCATTGGAAATGCCCCGGGCCAGATCGAAAGAGTGGAAATACCGCTGAATCGGGAGGGCAGGTCGCGGGGTACCGCATATGTCACATTTGGCTCGGCCGATCTCGCCAGTACTGCGGCGGCCGGTGTCAACGGGCTCAGGGTGGGTAGCCGTGAGGTGTCTGCGCGTGTGGTGGAAAACGGAGGAGGATCCCGGGAAGGATTGGCTGAGGGTGGACGGTCTGCGTCGGGCCGACGGGTGGGCGGGGCCAGCAGTGGGAAGACTAATCGGGGAGGTGGAGGAGGTGGGAACTCAAAGTCTCACAGCGGAAAGGTGTCTCGGTCGGGACAGCCGGCCCAGGCTATGGGGTCTGTGATCGTGTCTAGCGACGCCTCACTCAAGTCACCCGTTGTCAACGATCCGCTTTCCGACGAGCCTGTGTACACGACCACCGCCGCTGCGAATACCTCGATGTCTGCCTCGGGATCGATGTCCTCGTTGGTGGAAGGTAGCAGCCAGAGTCGTAAGAAGGAAGATCGGCCCGTGATTGTTGACGGGAGTGGCGGGCGGTGGAAAAAGGAGTCGGCGCCTGTTGTTGTGGATGGGAGTGGAGGGGCGGGTAGTCAGAGCGGTAGTGGAAGTGGGAATAAGAAGGCGGCGGGTGGTGGGAATCGAGGTGCTCGGTTTTGAGGTTTGTTGGTGTTGGTGTTGTGTTGGTGTTGGTTGTTGATTGTGTGCGAGTAATGGTATTCTTGATGATTTCTTTTCATTCTTGACTGTTTTTATTTTCGTCGGCTTGTATTTCCCCATATTGGTCCCTACTACCCACTGTTATCCTTCCTTTTGCATTTGGGGATCTAAGAAAAGAAAACATGTTTTGGTATTGGTATTAATCACACCTAATGGGGTGATGTCGGTCTGGTAATGGAATAAGTGGGTCATCATACTTATTGGCGATGGATTTGGGCGGGGTTAATACACTAGAGTAAAGGTGGCTGTAGCTTTACGTGTCAAAGAGGTTGTTAGGGGTTGTCATGAGGCGTGGATAGATGGGTAGTGGATTGGATTGGGTAACTTCTAATTGTACTCTGTGATGGCGGCTTGGGATGTAATAGAGGGAGGACGGCTGGATGATTAAGTGAAGGAGTTGGTTGAGGATAGATACCTCTTGATTTATGGAATGGATAATGTCTTGTGGCTCGGTATTTGCGTAGAGTTGAATTACTGTAACGTTATCTCCTCAGCCTGTGTAATACAACTGAATCTACGTGTATTTGAGGGGGATAACAAAATGTCAGATATAATACGCGTTGCATCTCGGGTTCTTTGATGTCCACGGCATGCATTATTGTACTTCGTAGATTGTGTGTTTGATTGTTCTACATTTTCTTGCTGTTTGTTGTCTCCATCCAGGACAGAAATAACAACCCAAAAGGGACACTTCATCCTGACCTTCCCCCCATCTTTGCATAGGTACGCTCTCACTTATACATCCTTCAACCCTTTCAACCCCTTATCACTGCCACCCGCCCCCTCGTCCCCCTTCTCCCTCCCCAACTGCGCAACAAGCCTCGTATTCTCCGCCTGCACCGCCCCCACCAAATCCCTCAACATCTCCACCTCCTTGCGCGCCACATCCCGCTCGGCACGCACCCGGTCGAGTTCCAACCGTAGGTCGGCGCGGGCGGCGCGCTCGGCGGTTTTCCGCTGGCGGTCGGCAGCTTTGCGGGCTTCGGCGGCTTGTTTCTCTGCGAGCCGGGCGAGTTCGCGTTGGTGCTTGTCGTGTTGCCGGGAGAGGTTGTGGGCGTGTTTGGCGCGGAGTTTGAGAAGGGTTGAGAATTCTTCTTCTGCTTCTGCTTCTTCTGTGGGGGGTGAGGCTTCGTCGGTGGGGGGGTCTTTGCTGGTTTTGCTGTCTTTGCTGTCTTTGCTGTCTTTGGTGTTGGTGGAGTTGGCGTCGGTGCTGTCGGCTGCGCTGTTTCCGTTGCCGTTTTCTTTTCCACTTTCGGTCTCATTCTTCCCCTTTCCACTGTCCTTCCCACTCCCGTTAACATTAGCCTTCGCACTCTTCGCCCGTCGCTTCGCCTGCTCCCGCGCAATCTTCTCCTCTGCCTTGCGCATCCGCTGCTGCAACTTGGCCAGCTCCTTCTCATGCTGGGCCTGGGCGCGCGCCATAGCTGGCGGGAGCGCTTGCGAGGAGGGGGTCTCAGAGACGGTCGAGCGGGTGGATTGGTTGTCATCGGCAGCGGCTGGTTTGTCTTGGTCGGGTTTGTCTTGATCTGCGATCTGTTTGTCGGCTTCGGGATCCCGGGAGGAGTCCGGGAGGGGCTGGCCGGGTTGTGAGGTGTGTTCGTCCTCTTCGTCGTCTGAGACATCGCTGTCGTCGTCGAAATCGCTGGTGTCGGTGTCGGTCTCGATGGAAGCCGGCGCAAACGCCGCGACGCCGCTGGCTACGGCTGAGGTGGCCATGCCGAGAGCGCTGCTGAGCATGCCGTAGATGCCGCTGTTACTGGCAGGTGGTTGGTCATCGCTCTGGCTATCGGGGGGACCGTCTGTAGCTGATATGTCTTTCGGCGGCCGTTGTTCTGATTGTGCCCCGGTTTGTGGCTGCTCTGTTTGTGATTCAGCTGGCTTCGCCTCCTGCTGGTGTATCGGCCTCTTCAAGTCCTCGACACTCTGAGAGGTGAACCACTTGAGGAACTTCCCGGCGTCACCAATAATCCCCCCTGGCGTGCCCTTTTCCACCATGAACCGCGGCACGCTCCCGCCCGGATCACTCCGCGTGACCATCATCCACTCAACAGCCATCTCCGTGTCATCACCATCGTCTTCATCATCCCCGACACTCCCCGGCCGGAACGACACCGTCCTAGCCTCCCCTTCAGACTCAACCTCATCCCCGACCGCCTGCTTGGCCGCAAGCAAAACAGCTTCCCTGCTAACCCGCTCTCCACTACCAGCCGCAAGCGCCTTTTCAATCTCATCTCTATTAGCCCCGCTCACATCCACCGACGATCGCGCCCGGCGCAGGGGTTTCGGTTTCGGTTTTTCGATGGGCACTTCGCGGATCATCTCGACGGATTCGTAGGTGCCGCGGATGAAGCCCGGGCGGGGCGGGCAGTCGGGGTGGTCGCACGGGCGGGAGATGAGCATGAAGGTTCGGGGATGTTTGCTGCTTTGGCTTTGGGTGTCTTTTTCTGTGGGCATTAGGATGAGGGTGATGAAATCTCGGGGTGTTGTCGGGCCTGGGAATCTGGCCGAGACGTGGTACACTGGATATGTCAGTCTAGAACCATAGATAAAACACGACACGGCGAAAAAAAGAAAAATAATAAAAAGAAAAGAAATGGAGGGAAAAGAAACTCACCATCCATCCTCCCCCCCTCAACTTCCACCCCATCCACCCTCCTCTCCGCCCCAATCCCCCTCACATTCCCCGTCCCAGGCACCTTTCCCGGACTCGCCGCCACCCGCTCCAGCGTAACCTGCATCTCCCTTCGCAGCGCCGCCTCCCACTTGTCAAACCACGCACTACCCTTCTGCCGAGAAGCAGGAGAAGAAGAAGGAGGAGGAGAAGAAGAAGAAGAAGAAGGAGGAGGAGGAGGAGGAGGAGGAGGAGGAGGAGGAAAATGCAAACTCCTCCTCGCAAACCACGCCCCCTTGCCATCCTTCCCGCCCATCTTGTACATCGCAATACCGTGCGGGTTGGACCCGCTGCTGGATTTGTCGTCTAGCGGTTTACCCGGGTGTGGTGGCGGTTGGGCCGGGTGCATTTTGAGATCCTTCCATTCTTTGCGGAGTTTGGTGATTGTTTCTGTGTCTGCTGCTGCTGTTTGATGATGATGATGGCTTCTGTTCCCGGGTTGACTGGGCCCTGAATCCGATATGAAAGATACCGCTGAGTCGGTGTGAGAGCGGGCGCGGCCGGGGTTTGCTGCTGTAGAGGAAGAAACAGGGGTAGAGGCCGTGGGATATGGTTCGGGGATTGACTCGAGGAGGATCCGGGCACGGGAGAAGGTCGAGTCGAGAAGGGCGGCTAGGGCTGGGGGGTCGTCTTGGACGGCCTGGATGTCGTCGGTCCAGGAGAGTGGGGCGAGGGCTTGGAAGGGGGTGTGGTGGGACATTGTTGTTTTTCTTTCTTTTGTTTTCCGGGTGTCGTGGTGTAGTTTGGTGAAATATGGGCGGTGACGGGTTATGATGTGTCGTGGGTTCCTGTCAGAATGTGACGACCGCCTCCGAAACGCAGCCCAATACTGAGTGAGTAATTGACTAAGAATCTGGCGAAACTCGATATCTAGAAATGAAAGCGAGTTTGGTCTCTCTCAACACCAAAACCTCCAACAAACCCAAAGCGCGGTGGCGATCGGGCCGGCTATGCAACCGCAGGACGCGTCATCGCCTAGCTAGTTGAAGGATTCCGGGGGCCTTGAGTTTCCTAGGAAATGAAACGGGATAGGCACCAGTTTTCCGGATCCAATGTGAGGTTTAAGCTGAAATGAAATGGCCCAGAATGTGTAATTGACCAGATCAGGTCTGAGAGAAGTATGAAGTGGACGATGGCCTTTGGGTTGGGCTGCAGAGTGGTGTGTGTAAAAAAAAGGAGGGGCATCATTCAAGAACCACCCAAAGATTTCCCAAGATCAAAAACAACTGTAAATCTCGTTGAATTGAACTGTTATCTTAAAATTCTCCCGCTGAGGGTAAAAAGATGAAAAAAAATGGCGGAATAAAATAAATTCCAATTTCTGTCCCTCTCGTGCTCTCCCAAGGCGAGGATACATGTGCCCAAAAAACCACTGACGTCATAGCATGCACCCTACCACCCACAGCCACCTCATTACTTCTAGTGTATCCGTATATATTACAAAACAAGACAAACAGTGGAACAATCATCAAACTAAAAACGCAAGCACCGACTGGAAAAGAACCCACTAACCCACTAATTAGTAGAGGGAAATAAGTGACACATAAAAAGAAAAAGCTCACCACCAAGCCCTATCCCCACCCGAAGGAATAGACGTTGGCAGTTACGAAAAAACCCCCAAAGGGACTTTTTCTTCGCTGGTCCCGGGAATCGAACCCGGGACCATTTCGATTTACGACGGAATTGGAGAGGCCAGCGCCCCTCCCAATACCGCTGAGCCAAACCGACCGGTGTTTGGATTTCAATGGGGAGGAGATGGTGACTGGGCGAGGGCGGAAGGAGATTATATAGGATGGGAGGGAAGGAGGGAGGTGCGTGGTTGACGAGGGGTTGGATTTCGGTGCCCGGGGCTGGTACTGTACTATATAGCACAACACTGCGGTGTTGGGTGCATACTACTGTTGTGGATGAGCGATTGCACTACATCGGGCCGAGCATTTCGTTCGCTGCATGCTTAGCACATAAGTAAAAGTAACATCTGGGTGCTTGTCTTGCAGAGTTACCTTGTCGAAGAAACCCTGGCGAGCTCTTGATGGGCGCCGGCCCACGAGTTTGTCAATCACTAGGTGTCACCCTTCAAGCCCAGACACAGCACAACATGGAACCGAGACACCACCAATTCAGATAACTCATCGATTTCCTTCTCCGCCCAACCTTCCTAGTGCCGAATCACCAGGTCGGTCGGTCGGTCGGTCGGGAAAACCGAACCACACCTACAAATACATCCTCAAAACAGTTCGTGACACCCCTATCCTTCTGGACGGGGGTCTTCCTCATGGGAGATACACAAATACACTTTACAATCCAACCCATCCAACCCATCCATCCCCCCATCCACCACCTTCATCTCCCATCCGTGTTCTCTCATCCTCTTCCCATCACCATTCCATCTCCCCATTTTCCCTTTCCCTTTCGCACAGTACCCCCCGAAACGCCCTCACGCCCCACGCCCAACACACTCCTCTAAAAAAAAGGTAGAATGGAATTCATCCCAAATACAAACGTCCCATACCATACCATAGCGCCCTCACTCCCACTCCCCCAACCGCAATACCTATCATCATTGATTGCCCTTGCCGTCCATAACGTGTGCCAAGTTTGAGGTTGGGATAAAAAAGGCCGGAATCATGTCACCATTTGACCGGCCGATCCCAGCTGCGCACACCAAAGCCAATACCAATACGACAGAGTAGGGCACAGGATAGAGGAAGCTAGAGACATCACTGCATGGTCTTAAGGAACCCATCCAGATCAAAGCTCTCCTCATACTGCGTGTTATCCCATAACTCTCCAAGCCCCTCAAGCCAAGCCGCCTTCTTGCCAGGCTGTCGCACATCACCCGTCTCAACATCCACCATGTCCTCTTCCCGACCCTGCTCCACGTCCCCGCCGCCGTTGGCGCCCTTCTCCGCGATCAGACCAGGCCCTCCAGAGTCGCCAAGGTTGAACAGATCCAGAATCTGGTCCGTGTCCATGGTCGCAAGCCCGGCGTTTTGCTGGTTGACGACGGTGCTGGCAACGTCGATCTTGAAGCGTTGCAGACTGAGGATTTTTTCTTCTAGCGTGCCGCGTGTGATGAGGCGGTACACGTTGACGACCTTCTTTTGTCCGATGCGGTGGGCGCGGTCCATGGCCTGCAGGTCCTTTTGCGGGTTCCAGTCGTGCTCGACAAAGATGACGGTGTCGGCGCCCGTTAGGTTCAGGCCGAGACCGCCGACGCTGGTGGTCAGGAGTAGCACGTCGTACGACGGGTCGCTGTTGAACTTGTTGACGATGTCTTGGCGCTTGTTGGCCTCGACGGACCCGTCCAGCCGCAGGTACTGCACGGCGGGAAGCATGCTCTTCAGCACGGTGTTTTGCACCATGTCCAACATCTCCTTCATCTGGCAGAACACCAGTGCGCGGTGAGGCTTGATGGGCGTGTACAGCGGGTCGGAGGATTCCTGGCCTTCGGTGCCGATGCCGCAGTCAACGAGCAGGTCGCGGAGCGCCGTCAGCTTGGGCGCGTGTGCCGGGTCTTCGAGACTGGTGTTTTGCCGGCCCAGGAACTTTTGCGTGTCCTCGTACGACCTGTGGCCCGGTTTCATGACGAGGGCGGGCGAGTTGCACAGCTTGCGCATGTACTGCAGCGCCTGGAAGATGTGCTGCTTGGCCTCCTTGTCGTCCTTGCCGGCCTGCTCCGACAGCTTCTGGCCTTCGCGCTTGGTGAAGTCCTCGAACAGCTTCAGCTGCAGATCGCTCAGGTCGCAGTAGTAGTTCTGCAGGATCTTGGGCGGGAGGTCGTTGAGCACCTCCTCCTTGAGGCGCCGCAGGAGGAAAGGGAGCACCTGTTTGTGCAGCGCCTCGATGGCCAGCGCACCGGCTTCCTGCTCCTTGGACGACGCCTTGCTGTACCGGCTGTTCGCGATCGGCTTGGCGAAGCGGTCCAGGAACACCTTCTCGGCGCCGAGGAACCCGGGCATCAAAAAGTCAAACAACGACCAGAGCTCCAGCACGTTGTTTTGGATCGGCGTGCCCGTCAGGATCAGCCGGTGGTTGCTGGCCAGCCGCTTGACGGCCATGGTGATCTTGGCCTTGGGGTTCTTGATCAGGTGGCCCTCGTCAAGGACCACATAGTTCCAATTGTACTTTCCGATCGTCTCAATATCGTTGCGGCACACGTCGTAGGACGTAATCACAATGTCGGTCTTGTCGAGCTTGTCCTTCTTCGCCTTGCGCTCGGCCGGCGGGCCCACGTACGCCGTGACACTGAGGAAGGGCGCGTACGCCTTAATCTCCTGCTGCCAGTGCCCCGATAGCGTGGGCGGGCAGACGACCAGCGAGGGCAACCTCCGCACGTCGGGGGCGCCCGTCTTGGCAAATTCTTCGGCGCGCTGGTGATGGTCGCTGGCGACCATGCAGATCGTCTGGAGCGTCTTGCCGAGGCCCATGTCGTCGCAGAGAATGCCGTGCAAGTGGTATTTGTTGAGGAAATGGAGCCAGTTGACGCCCTCCTGCTGGTATGAGCGCAGTTCCGCCTTGATCGCGACCGGGATCTGGAACGCTTCGACCTTCTTCGGATCCAGCAGTTGCCCGATAAACGTGCGCTCGCGGTCGCGGCCCTTGAGCAGCTCTTCCGATAGCCCCGGCGGATCCGGAATGCCGGCTTCGAGCGGCACAAGCTTGACCAGCGTGGCAAACGACGTCGTCGCGATGAGCCGGATCTCGTTGTCGGAATCGCTCATCCGGCCCAGCACCGGCACGATGAGGAAGATGACGTACGGCAAGATCGCGTCGCCCATCACCGCGATCAGATGGTAGATGGCCTCGATGGCACCTTGACGGAAGCTGAGATCCACGGGGTTGTTGATCGACGGCAGCACCTTCTCCACCAGCGCCGTCATGCCCTCAACCGTGATCACGCTACAGATCGTGGCCATGCACTTGGCCGCCATATAACGGAAGACAGACAGTTCGGACCGCAGCGCGCGGATCACTAGGGGAACCTGTCGCATGACGAAAGGACGGAGGTCCTCGTGGAGCGTAGGGGTCATGGTCCGAATCACTGACAGGGCATCGACAATCTCCTGGCCGAACGTTTGTTCTGGGTCTTTGGCTTCGGCGGGTAGATCGCCCGAGAAGGCCCTGGTCAGCGGCTCCTCCATGAAGGACTGCAGACTAGGGACGCGCTCCAAGAGCTCGGCCCCAAATATCTGCGAGAGAATCTCGAGCGCCTCTTTGGCGCCCCGGCGGGTGATACGGGCAGCCCGTGCCTCTCGCGCAAACTTGGCCGCGTCCACGTGGTCGACGCGGTCCTCTTCTTTCTGCATCGATAAGATCGCGCTTGTCTTGAAAGCGTGATTGGTGAACTCGGGTGTCTCGGCCACCTCGACGCACGAGAACTTGACCAAGTTGGCGACGACCTTGTCTGCCGGACCGCGGCGTCCCGAGTCGGTAAAGAGCTGCACAAGGCGGGCGATGGTCGCCGACGAGCGCCCCTGCAGTTCCTGGTTCTCCTCCGTTTTGATGCTGTCCATGATGGCCTTGATGAGCGGGCTGGGCTTCTTAGGTAGGACCTTCATGGCCACCAAAGCACACGCGGCCGCCGCTCGGATCCTCGCATCGCGCGCGTCCTTGGCCGTCTTAGCTTCCTCAATCACAGAGATGGTCGCGTCGCGAGCCTCGTTGAGCTGCGGGAGAGCGATGAGTCGCTGGCCTGGTGCCATGGCTTTCTTGAGCTTGTCAAAGTCGTCCGCCACCACCTTCTCAGCATTAGCCACCGAGAATGCACCCGGTCCGGCCTCTGGCTCGCCCTGGACCACCACGGCCAGTGCTGGCAACTTGTTGTGCGAGACCTTGCCGTGGTCGCGGAAGAGGTTGATGAGCTGCTGCGACTGCGAGCGCACGCGGTGGACATAACTGACGAGGTCTCGGTAATGTGACGGCCGCTCTTGGTCGATCATGTTTTGCAGCGGTTCGACGAACCGAGCCGCTGCCGTAGCCTCTGCCGCGTTGGCCACGCAGTTTTTGGCGTACTCGTCGATGACCATACAAGCGGCCAGCTGGGTCGAGGCAAACGGCGAGGCCAGGCCCTGGAGTACCCCGCTGTCGTACGAAGCGAGGTGAGAGTTTGGGATGAAGGACATGATCAGACCGATAGCTTTGGCCGCGGAGACGCGAGAGCGGACCAAAGTGTCCATGCCCACCAGGTCAACATCGCCCTGCATCATGTGGCCGTCCACATCGTGGCTCTGCGTGGCCACCGGGACGTCATCGACCTTGGTCGATTTCCTACGCCGTTTCGTGGCCCTCTCGTTGCCTTCTGGGGGCGAGGACCGCCTGCTCACCGGCAGCGCGGGGGCACTCATCAAACTGTACGTCCCACCAGACGGCTTCTGGAATAGGGTCCCGTTCATCGGGATGGGGTGTCGGGGGACGCCGACAGGGTGGAGCGCCAGCTGCATCAGCGGCTCTACGTGTGCCTCAAACTCATCGGCCAGCACAGCCGGGTCCTTGGCAAGGTTGCGCACGAGGGCAGCCCACAGATCAACGGACGCGGTCAAGGTCGCCTGGTCCCGCTCGACCAGTATATTCTGGAAGATGAGGCGCAGGATCCGCCCGTTGAGCCAGCCTTGCGACGTGTCGCCGCCGAGGTTGGCAAAGGTCATCAGAGCCTTTAGCACGGCAAGACGGACCGAAGTGATAGTATGCCGGAGGAAAGGATAGAGCCGAGGAACAAGGAGAGTAAACGACCGCTCTTCGTCCTGGGCGGCCGAGAGCTTCATGGCTTCCAAGACTTCAGGGAAACTGCAGAGCGTCGCGAGCAAGTCCATAATCTTGCCCGTCGACGCGCTCAGATCATCGCCGAGGTTCGAGAGACTCTCCCAGACGATGTTGATGAGGCCATCCAGCGCACCACGTCTCATCGTGACAAATTCTTTCGCCATCGGGATGAGTGTGGCCGCGCTGACCGAGCGCACATCGTCGTCGATGTCGCCGAGGCCCTTCATGACGGAACGGATGACTCCATCGATCATGTCCCCGTCCTGGAGCAGGAGGTCTTTACGCACAGCCACGACGTACCTCAAGCCCACCATGCCTCCGTGGCATACAGCCCACACGTTCTGCTCCAACTGCAGGTCTTCTTGCATCACCATCCGGTACAGCAACCGGTAGATGGCATAGACCGAGTCCGCAGGAACATGACGGAGAACCGAGCCCAAAGTTTGGCCGACCGTCTCGCGGATCGGTGCAACCGACGTGTCAGAGCTGTAGTCGGTGAACTTGTCCAGCATGAGCACGCAGCACAGGCGACATGCCAGGTCATCCAGCCATTGACGGTTGAGCCCCGTGTTGTCCTTGCGCGACTTGTCCCGTCGTCTTCCAGCGCCAGCCCCGTGCACTCGAATGATCTCCCGCAAGCCCATAGCTGCGCCATGACGTGTTTCCCACTGGGGATCGAACAAGTCAATTTTGAGGAATTCACAGAGCCGCTCGTATGGCCATTCCGCGCCCTCCATGTTCTCATCCACCTCGAGCTCCGACTTGATCGGGAGAATCGGGCCCTTGAACTCGGACACAACCTTGGTGTCCTCGTCCACATCGGCGGGCCGATCGAGGTTGAAATAGTCCGCTACCTTGCCGTTCTTCTTCGAGTCAGCATCGGGCATCGGAGTGTCGTCGGCGTATCCATCGGACCCCGCCGTTGTTGTCCGGCGGAGCGTCAAGTCGCCAAACCCGCTCTTACCCTGGGCGGCCTTCTGAGCCTCCCGCTTTCTTTTTCTCTTGAGAACGTTCAGTTGCCGGGTGCTGAGCTTGCTCTCGTCCTGTGTCTGTCCTTGGCTCTCGCTTGTTAGGCCATCCTTCCCTCCAAACCCATTTGTGCCGCCTACTGATTCCAGCGGCGTGTCCGGACTAAGGGCATGCTCGTGGATGATGGGCATCTCTTCGTCCTCAAACACCCGCCCAAGCAGCCCAAGCCGGCCATTTAGCGTTTTTTGTAGATGTGCTAGCCGCTTTTGAGGGTCGAGGGCCGCGAGCGTGAGGTCCACGTTTCCACCACGAAGTAGAGACCGCCCATACTTGAGAATGGCCGAGACGTCAAGCCCATCTAGGGCATAAAATTCTTCCTGATCGAGGACTGAGTCCTTCTGTTCCTCCTCCTTCTTGACAGTGCCGTCGTCCTTCTTCACCGGATCCTCCTCCGGTGGGAATGCATCGTCCACATTTGGGTCGTAGAGAGGCGCATTCTCAATAATCTTGCCTATCGCCTTTGCGGCGGTACTCCTGGTCTCCCATTCCTTGTGGCGGAGGTAGGGGACCACTCGCGTTAGCAGGTTGAACAGCTCATCAGGATGTTGTTTCTGCCAGTCGGCGAGTTGGTTGACGGCCGTGTCCCGAATTAGTCGGGTGCTGCCGGTTTCGAGGATGCTGATCTACGGTTAGTGTTTGCGCTAATGCGGATACTGCAGGGAAACCCGCTGGGGAAGCTGCGGGAACTTACGTGACGAGTCGGTCAAGCCTGGTCCGAGTTAGTCCGAGCCGAAATGATAAAACTAAACAGGGAAAGCGAGAGAGAAAAATAGTTGTCAAAGAGACTACTTACCGAGACGCCATTCTTGTTTCATGTCAACGGATATCGTAAAAACAACTAAATCTCGGCGACCATGGCACTATACATTCTGTCAGTTAGCGAGAATGTTACAGCACAGATTTAAAATAGTGTGCAATGGCCGTGGTGGGGGATGCTGCATGAATTGCTCAGTGCGCCGAGAAGAGTGAGAATGAAACCGCCGGGAATCTCGAAAAAAATGTTGTCGCGCTGCCGTGATTGGTCCTCATGTGAAGAATCTCACATGGGGGCGATGCACCCGCCGGCGGCGAGTGGAGCCATGCGCTCGCGAATAAGACGCGGGGCTGAGGATAACCGATCTGCTTGGATCTGGACTGTTGCACTGCAACATTGAAAAGCCCAGACGGCGGTCCCAATAACGACCGCCTGCGCAGACCACGTTGCTCAAAGCGGAAGGGAAAGCGAGGGATGGGAATCAATGAAATGAATGCAGGGTAAACGCAGGAGAGAAAAGGACTGTGTCCCGGCTGGCGACAGCTGTTGGGCCGCTTTGTGTAACACTTACCTGTTCCTGGCCGAAGTGAGGTCTCGGATGAAGTGCGCTTGTTGATCAATGAGAGAAGGTGTTGGTCGTGTAATGCACAAATTTGAGATGTATTCCGTGCGCACTGTGGAAAGAAAGTTTAGCTTCGAAGTAGATCCTTGAAGGTCACGATGTCGGCACAGACGACAACAAAACGTAATGCGGCAGAAACAAAGTCGGTAACATACCAGTGGAAATGTGAACAACAAAAAATAGTGGGTCGTGTTTTGTGGTGATGCCAGATCTGAGATGGCGGCAGGCAAGGGAAACCGCTTGGTTGGGTCTGGCTACTTGGCTGGCCTCAGTGGGTGCGACCAATTTTTGTGAGCGGGGGGTGGTGGGATATGGGTGAGGCGGAGGGTGCGTGCAGCGCAGCGCGGTCGGGCGAGCGAGTGCGGTTGGGAGGTGGAGGGCAGGCGCCTGTCTATAAGAAAATATTGGTTTAAATTTATAGACAGCGGCCTTGTTCCCAACGCTCCTCCCGGGCCTTGCGCATTTTAGCGCCATTCTTCCCCACCCCTGTCCATGCGCCGCCCACCCAGAGCCACCCCAAGTCCCGTGCCCCTTCCCCCCGGCCCCAAAATTTACTGACGAACAAAAAGAGATGGAAGTCGCGTCCTTCAGCCCACAACCAACCCACCTGCTCCATCAAGATGCATCTTTGGAAGGAAAAAAAGTTTTGATGTTGGAACCCAGCCGGCCGGCGAATCCAGTCATGTCTTTCATTCCCTTCTTGCAGCCGACGGACGCATGATGAATGCCGTTCGCAGCTACGCCCCCAATGCTCCACATTCCGACGCGGCTCCTCAGGCCCCCGCCAACTTGGAACGTGTCCAACTCAGCTCGTTGTTCTCTTTTGTCCGGGTTATCTGGTTTGTCTGCTTCATCAAGAGTGAGAAAATAACGGTATCCTCTGGATTACTGTTGCATAGTCCCAATCGGACAACCCATCGGGGCCTCGCAGCCCGCATGCTCTTGGCTCTTGCTGCTGCAGGGTGCCTGCTCGTGGCGTGGAATCATTCAACGCCCGTTCCGCCCGGGTTGATACTCTAGCTTACACACGCGTCGTGCGCTGTGCCCTCTTCCCGGTAACCACAAGTGGTCAGGGAGGAGTGAGGCAAGAAGGCAAGTACGTATGTAGTAGGTTGATCCGTAGCAAACACGGAACGAAAGCGGCGGTTTGCAGCCCCTAACACCCCTAGTTCCGGTCGGGCTCTTCTTGAAATTGCCCGGCTCGGCCGGTACATAGGAGCACTTCCTCCATCTTTTAGCATGCAATGATGTAACGCTTGTGGCCATCTCTTGTTGCGACCGTGGAGACACGAGCACAAAATACGATCGCCCAGCTGACAGGTGCATAATTTGATGCCTATCTGATCGCCTGGAAGTCTGAAAGTCTGGAACATGCCGGGTTGGGTTGGGCCGATGATGCCCGTTTCGAGGTTTCTTCGGATGCAAGGGACGGGACCAGGGCCATCGCAACCGACTGTTCCGTTCTACCCAAGAACATCCCCTCATAATCTGACCCTAAAGAAAAATATCGAAGTGCTTCTCGGCCGAGGTTTAATCTTCATGATTTAGTCTTTTCGAAAGGTGTCGATGAACCACACCCAAGGCGGCTTCATATGGCGTGATCAACGGCGTCATCTCCAGATGCACGGTCCATCTAACGGACGCAGCCAAGCTCTCCCGTCAGTCCCTGGCGATTTGGTGGTATCAGAACCCTGACTGGCTCGCAATCAGCCGCTGACTGACTGTAACCCTA